TCTCCCACTGACCATTCCCTGTTCTCCCACTGACCATTCCCTGTTCTTCCAGTGACCATTCCCTGTTCTCCCCACTGACCATTCCCTGTTCTCCCTGTGACCGTTCCCCGTTCTCCCGCTGACCATTCCCCGTTCTCCCGCTGACTATTCCCTGTTCTTCCAGTGACCATTCCCTGTTCTCCTGCTGACCATTCCCTGTTCTCCCGCTGACCATTCCCTGTTCTCCTGCTGACCATTCCCTGTTCTCCCACTGACTATTCCCTGTTCTTCCAGTGACCGTTCCCTGTTCTCCCAGTGACTGTTCCCTGTTCTCCTCAGTAACCATTCCCTGTTCTCTCACTGACTGTTCCCTGTTCTCCCCACTGACCGTTCCCTGTTCTCCCTGTGACCATTCCCTGTTCTCCCTGTGACCATTCCCTGTTCTCCCAGTGACTGTTCCCTGTTCTCCCAGCAGCACAGCGACTCAGACTCGGAGCCGGAGTTCTCCTCCCTGTCTCCCTCCATCCCCAGCGCCATCCCTGTGACAGGAGAGTCCTTCTGCAACTGTGAGAGCCAGAGTGAGGCCCCGTTCTGCTCCAGCCTGCACGCCCTGCACCGCGTCCGCGACTGCCGCTGCGGGGAGGAGGACGAGTGTAAGGGCTGCCTGTGCCCACTGTGCTCCCTCGGGGGGCAGGGGCTGCACCCCAGCATGGCTCCTGTCCCTGTCCCACAGTGCTGCTCCTTTGTTTACATCCCCAGGCCATGGAGGAGGATTACAGCCTGTGCCTGCTGTCGTGTTCCCAGGGCTCAGAGCTGAACCTGTTAAAGGCGTCAGAGTTTCACCTCTGGGGACCTGCTTTCCGATCCGGCTTAGGCCACCAGTGAAACAGGCCCCGGTGCTTAGGGCTCTCCTGATCCTGGAATGCTGGCGGGATGCCCGGCACGGCGTGCTTGGAGCACAGGGTGGACTTGGGCTGGCTGAGAGAGCCATGGCATGGCAGAGCCACCCCCTGTGCCCACGGGGAGTGAAGGGAGAAGGGAGGCTCTGCTGGGTCTGCTGAGCCAGAATGGGGACTGGAGGATGCTGACAGTTTGGGAGCACTGAACCATCCCTGGTGGGACACTGTTCAGGCCTCAAACAACTCACAGCTTAAGATTTACCCTCTTAAACAATAAATTACAAATGAAAACCCCAAAAAGCCTTCAAAACAATGTCCCACTCTGCTTTGGCTTGGGAATCACTCCCTGAGGATCTTTACCCATCCCTGTGCTCTCTGTGATCCTCAACAGATTTCGACTGGGTGTGGGATGACCTGAACAAGTCGACAGCCACCCTGCTGACATGTGACAACCGCAAGGTGAACTTCCACATGGAGTACAGCTGTGGCACCGCCGCCATCCGCGGCAACAAGGAGCTGGCGGACGGGCAGCACTTCTGGGAGATCAAGATGACCTCCCCAGTGTATGGCACTGACATGGTACGTGGGGCTGGGGGGTGAGGGGCTGGATGTGCCCTGGCTGTGTGTGCTGGGACCCAGAAACCCCCCGTGCCCTGGGCTGATCCCACAGCGTGGGCAGCAGGAGAAGAGGGGATTCTGCCCCTCTGCCCCCTCAGGTGAGACCCCACCTGCAGAGTTGCCTCCAGATATGGGGTCCCCAGTACAGGAAAGACACAGACTTGTTGGAGCGAGTCCAGAGGAGCTCACGGAGATGCTCCAAGGGCTGGAGCCCCTCTGCTCTGCAGCCAGGCTGGGAGAGCTGGGGGGGTTCACCTGGAGAAGAGAAGGCTCCAGGGAGACCTGAGAGCCCCTTTCAGTGCCTAAAGGGGCTCCAGGAGAGCTGGAGAGGGACTTGGGACAAGGGATGGAGGCACAGGACAAGGGGTAATGGCTTCCCACTGCCAGAGGGCAGGGATAGATGGGATACTGGGAAGGAATTCTTCCCTGTGAGGGTGGGGAGGCAGTGGCACCAGGTTGCCCAGAGAAGCTGTGGCTGCCCCATCCCTGGAAGGGTCCAAGGCCAGGCTGGACGGAGCTTGGATTCACCTGGGACAGTGGAAGGTGTCCCTGCCCATGGCAGGGGGTGGAACGAGATGGGTTTGAAGGTCCCTTCCAACCCAAACCAGTCTGGGATTCTGTGAACAGGATGTTGACCTTCTCCAGCTGTTCACATGGGCCTCCTCACTTAGGAAAGGAAATGGGAGCTGGGAGCCTTTAGCTCCATCCTGAAACCTATGACTTGGCTTCACCGAACCCTCTGGGTGTTTTGGGCTGAACCAAGAAGAGGAGGGGAGAGCCAGAAGTGGAGTCTTGATTGTATTTTGTTCCTTGAAAAGACATTAAGCCTGCATTCTTCTTCCTGGCCTTGCTCCCAGATGGTGGGAATTGGGACGTCGGATGTGAATCTGGACAAGTACCGCCACACGTTCTGCAGCCTTCTGGGCAAGGACGAGGACAGCTGGGGACTGTCCTACACAGGTAACATGGACAGGCAGCAGTGGCACAAGAGGTTCCTTAGGAGGTTGAGGCCAAAGAGGCACCAGAGATGTGAGTCCCTTTGTTAAGGGCACCCAGAGTGACTCCTGGTAGCTCTTGGAACATCAGTCCTGGTCATGTTTTGCAGAGCCCTTAGACCCAGTGTGGGACCCTCCAGGGCACCTGGGTGCCACTGTCCCATCACCAGTTTGGGGTTGTGCTCTGGAGTTGCAAAACCTCAACTTTCCCCTTTCCATTGGCCACACTGGGATGGGATGGATGTTTCAGACTGAGTTCCTGTACCAGCAGGAACTCAGAGCACTGGAGTTGGGGTGAATTCATGGAGCACAGGTTTTCCACAGAATGCCATTCTTTTTGTGTGTTTTAAGGTCTGCTGCATCACAAGGGAGACAAAACAAACTTCTCTTCAAGGTTTGGCCAGGGCTCCATTATTGGGGTGCATTTGGACACGTGGCACGGGACGCTCACGTTCTTCAAGAACCGCAAGTGCATTGGTAAGAGCAGTGGCTCAGGCAGAGGGGTGGAGTGGGGGAACTCCAAGTCAGAAAACACTGGCAAAGCAGAAGACTAAGATGTGAAGTGAGTGGGAGGAAGGTTACATTCGCTGTTTAATAGGTTGGGATTTTGGAAGGCTTTTTCCAATGGGTTCAGGGTAGGTGGGAGGAGCGAGATGCCCTTGTGTAAACTCACGGGTGCTGTGCCCTGGCAGGGGTTGCAGCCACGAAGCTGCAGAACAAGAAGTTTTACCCCATGGTTTGCTCGACGGCAGCCAAGAGCAGCATGAAGGTGATCCGGTCCTGTGCCAGCTGCACATCCCTGCAGTACCTGTGCTGCTTCCGCCTGCGCCAGCTCCTGCCCGACTACGTGGACACGCTGGACGTGCTGCCCCTGCCCCCGGGACTCAAGCAGGTGCTGCACAACAAACTGGGGTGGGTCCTGAGCATGAACTATAGCACGTCGAAGCCTTCGTCCTCCTCCTCCTCAGGGAGTGACTCGGACAGCTCCTGCTCGGATGCTGAGGCCTGTCAGAGGAAGAGGTGCAGGAGGACATAATGTCTCTGGGGGTGGGGGTTTGTTCCCCCTCTGAGCCTGATGCACCTCTTCCTTCACGGGGACATCCATTGCTACTTGTTGGCAAAGATTTCCCTTACGCTGTGGAAATCTTTGGCCTCGACATCCATCACAGGCATTGAGAAGAGCTCTTGGCTCCAAGAGGTGCCAGCTCTGACACAGGAAAACAACGGTCAAATATCTGAGCTTCATCTCCTGACGTGCTAGTGAAGCCAGCGCCTCTTCCTGAAGGATCCTTCTTCTCCCTGTTGGCACAGAGAAGATTTAACAAGTTGGACTCGATGACAGGAGTTGGACTCGATGATCCTTGTGGCTCCCTTCCAGCTCAGGATATTCTGTGATGATTAAGGCAGACTCACAGTTTTAAAGTGTACTGGATTCCAGTCAAGTAATGGCCCTGACTCCTCAAGGCACAGTCAGGGCCAGCCCTCTCCTCCTCCCTGTGTGTAGTTTGGTCTCTGCCATGAACTCGTCCCTCTCCAGGGCCCGACGGAGCAGCCCCAGTGCAGGGAAAGGGCCCCAGAGGTGCCGCTGTGTGAGCGGGGACAGGGCTGGGCTGGGGGTTCCTCCAGCCCCCGTGACTTTAATTGCTTTGCATGTTGGTTCCTGCTGCTTCTCCTCTGTCCAAAACTCTGTTAAACTGTAACAATAAAAGTAGAAACTGTCTGTGGATCCTCTCAGGGCTCTGGAAGGCAGGAGCCTGCAGGTGCTTGGCAAAAAATAGCCAGGCCAGCCCAGCCAACAGCTGGAGGAAGGTTTTGGGTGCACCAGTTGTGTGTCAGAACTGGAGGAGGTGAAGGCAGTGATGCCCTTGTCTCTGCCCTGTGCAGGGCTCCAGTGCTTCCCCCTGAACCAGCAGCATGGCTGGGATGATCCCCAGTGGAGCCAGACCGATGCCCGTGGCTGAGCACTGGAAGGGAGGCTGCAGGGTTTATAGTGCCAGGACACGCTGGGACAGACCCCCCAAATCCTCATCCCAGAGCCCGGGACTCGGAGCAGCCCCTGCCCAGCCTTCTTGGTCGTGCTGAGGGAAATGCTGGATTAGGGCCTGGACAAGTGACTGGTTCTGTAGTGCCACTGCCAGGGAACAGGCTCTGTGCTCCTTCAGGAATGGTGCCAGTGCCAGGCCAGTCCCTGTGGGACTTGTGGGCAGCCTGGGGGGCTTTTCCCCAGCCTGTGAGCCCTCCTCTGGTGGGGCAGCACCTTTGCTTAGGATTCAGGGCTGAGCTGGTGCTGTCAGCCTTGCAAAGGGAAAGTGGGACAGGACTGAAATATGGATGGGAAATGGCTTTAACCAGTTCTCTCCATGGGTTTCCTCCCAGCAAGTTCCAGCCACTGCCTTTTCCTCTGCTCCCATTACAGACACCCGTAGGGTCAGGTACCCTATGGTACCATGTGCACTTATTCCCCATTGAGCCTCCCACTTCCATGCCCTTCCTTCCCACATCCCAAGTCCTGAAGTGCAGACAGCTCTCCCTTCTCTGGGAACACGCTTTGAATGAGAAGCTGACTCCAGTTGGTCAGGCTCTGTCCATCCCTCTGGATCAGAGCTCCAGCCAAGCCAAACTGCTGAGCTGCTCTTCCCCAGGACCTACTTCAAGCATCAGCAGATGGAGGCAGAGAAGTCCCTGGCAAGGAGGAACCTGGTTTGGAGGGGCCTTCCCATTTCTGTGGATCCAGCTGCCACTGCTCTGAGCCAGCAAGGCTTTGGGAGGAAGTTTAGGGGTTCTGTGTCGCTGGGGAAGGCCCCAGGGAGCAATCCCAAACCTCAGCAGGCACTGGGGGGGGCCCTGACCCCCACTGTCCTGGCTGCAGCTATTTCTGAATAAAAAACAGTGTTTGCTTTGGGAAAAGAGAATCCCATCCTAACCCACCACTTCCGACCTTATCTGGCATTTCCTTTTGTTGGGAATTCAGTTATCACACTCCCCTCCCCTGCCCTGAGCTCTGTCACCCCAAGGATGGGGTTTCTCTGTCCAGATGGTTCTGACAGTTGGTGAATGTTTCCCAAAGTAACTCAAACAGGACCCACCTGCCCATGGCAGCCACAAGCAGGATCTACAGTAACAGGTCCAGTCCCCACAAAGAGCCAGAGCAGGACATGAAAAGTCAAGACGTTGCCAAAAACACAAGGCTTGTTGACCAACTCACCTAAAATTGGCTGTGAGACAAACCCACATCCAGCCCCTGTTCCAACTGTTCCTCAGCTCTCATAGGAGACCCAGTTTTCAGCCAGCAGAATAGAAAGCTGGGGCAGCTGAAAGAGGAAATGAGAGCCAAGAGGGTGAAGAAAACATCTGTAACAAGGCATTTATTGATGTGCAAGTGTCTGTTCTGAAAGAGAATCAGCTGCTTCCCCTGGCTGGGCTCCCAGCTGCAGCTCAGGCACTGCTGAGCATGGGCAGGTAAAACAAGGAGTGACCAACATGGCCCACAGTCCCCTGTGGGGTCCAGGACAGGTCCAGGACAAGGTTGGGTTGTCGGATGCCAGGAGGAGGTAGATGTGGTAGCATAAGTCTGGTCTTTCCCCTGGTGTCTCATGTCACAGGGATGTCACTCAGCAGAAGTTTTTCACCTTCTGTGCTGCATTCTCCACAGGCTTTTGAGCATACAAGAGAAGGAAGCAGCACAAATGTTCTAGGAGACTCCAACCTTCCCTGCAGGGCTCAATCCCACAGTTACAGCGAGGATCCATGACTCAGCCTTCATCCAAACATACCAGAATGGGGGATAAAGCTCGGAAGAAACAAGCTCTGTCACTTGGAAAAGACCTCACACACACTCAGTTCTGTGCTACCCCTCCAGAGAGAGCTGGAAAGCCACCTCATAGAGTCCCAGAATGGTTTGGGTTGGAGGGACCATAAAGCTCATCTTGTTCCACCCCCTGCCATGGGCAGGGACACCTTCCACTAGCCCAGGTTGCTCCAAGCCCTATCCAACCTGGCCTTGGACACTTCCAGGGATCCAGGGGCAGCCACAGCTTCTCTGGGCAACCTGTGCCAGGGCCTCCCCACCCTCACAGGGAACAATTTCTTCCCAATATCCCATCTATCCCTGCCCTCTGGCAGCAGGAAGGCATTAAACCCATCTTCTTCTGAAGAGGCTGTGCTTGGGACAGAGATCAAAGCTCCAGGGGAAGGAAAAGGAGAGTATTTGATCACATGAGACAAAAAAACACATTCTGTCACGGTTCCTCATCTAATGGATGATTAATGTTCACAAAAACAAGCACTGGTAAAAACATCTTTTCACCCATTGGCTGAGCTGCCAGAAGGGTCAGATGGCATCCCAGTCTAACCCTGCTCCCCACACAGCTCACTGTGCCACTCTAACTCAGGAACCAGCAGAAAGCTGAAGGAGTGGGGAGAGGGAGAACTCAGGGAGCTAAATCAGCTCCCTGAAGGATCAGACAGCAGAAGAGCAAGGCAAGTGTGGGGTACAGAGCCAAGAGAGCTTGGGTGTCCTGTGGAAATGCTGCACAGTAGGGGTGACACGTTCTCTGCCTGAGGGGGATGGAGCAGCAGCCACCTGAGACACCACCCAGCTGACATCAAACAGATCGTGTTGGACGAGGCAGTGGATGCACCCAACCCACCCTGGCTGGGGTGGGCAACCAGAGGTATCAACAGGGGAACAGGCAAAGATGCTTCTACTGGGTCCTGAGAGGTGAGACCAGGGCAGGGAGAGGCCTGGGAGGGCCAACAGGGGGGTGAGCAGCTACTGTTGAAACCAGCGGCTCTGGTTTAATCACACCCAGAGACAAGCCTTGCCTCTGGAGAACTGGTTCCACCCTCAGGGCTTATTTGCTCCATCAACAAACACCTTGAAGTGAGGAAGGCCATGGCAGCCCCCTCTGCCTTTGTCCTCCAAGCTTTAACACAGATGGGTTTGAGGGCTCACCTGTAAGAGGGGCTTGGGAAGGGATTGCTTCCATTGGAGCTGCTGCTGCAGGGCTGGCTCTGTCCAACTGCTGGAATTGTCTCTTCCGCACTTGCCAGAGTCCTGTGCTGTCCTTCTCCACCTGCATCCCCTGGCCCAGGCCCTGGAAAGGCTGAAAGGAAAATCCTGCAACTCCAGCTGGAGTGAGGCCTGAGGGCAGTGTGTTCACAGAGCAGAGCCCAACAGACTCTGCAGCCTTCCCTGGCATTAAGCTGTGGGCTTCTAAAATCTCTTTCTGCCAAAGCCTAACACTTTTCCCCCCTCAGTTTTCTTTCCTTCCCCAGAAATCTCCAGAAACTGGGTGAAAAGATCTTCATAAGGCTTTTTCCCTCCTTTCCTAGTGCTGAGCCACCACTGAGCATTCACCATGAAAGCAGATTTTCATCAGCAGAGACTCAAAATGATCTTGAGACATATGTGGGCTGGGCCCTTGCACTGATGGAAGTTCCTGTAACTTCCACTGAGGCTTCCCAAAGCTCTGGGCTTGGCATGTGATGAGTCCAGCACAACTCACTTGTACAGGTGTTTTGTTACTGCCTTTGTCAGGCCAAATTCCTGCTGTGTCTAGGGACAAAAATTCAGTGTCACCCCATGGCTGCAGCACCTGGAGGAGAAGTGACAGGAAGGAGAAGCAAGAGGTGAAACACGTAACATGCCAAGCAAGAGGCCAAGGACAGGCTCAGGTGAGCCAGGACAGCCCGAGGCCCTCACCCTCCTCCCCCCTGGGCCAGCAGCACTGGTGTCAGCCCTGGCCACCACAGGCACCTGGGGAGAGCAGCAGGGCAGTGCTGGAGTCACCAGCCCTGGGAGTGCTCAAAAAACGAGTGGATGTGGCACTTGGGGACATGTTTAGTTGACAGGGTGATCAAAAGTTGGACGTGATGATCTCGGAGGTATTTTCCAACCTTAATGATTCCTGAATGAGCACAGGGGCGGGACACAGCCCTGGGCGGGCCGGGCTGCCCGGCGGGGAGGGGGCTGGGCTGCCCGGAGCAGCAGCTCTATTTACTCAGCCGCAGCAAAGCCGCTCATCCTTCTTAGCTCCCCTAAGCCCCAAGTCTAACCCCCTTTGGAGCACACTCCGGCAGGGCAGGAATTTAGTGCAAGGGATATCAAGCCGGGGCTTAGGTGGTGTTTGACCTAATTTATGAGTGCTGTGACATCACAAGGAGCAGTGCTGGGGGCACAAAGGACACAGAGTCTGCAAGGCAGAGACCTGAGCAAGAACTGAGAACCCCTTTCACAGCTGGGCAGTGGGTGCTGGGCTGGGGGAGGGCAGGCTGGGTCTGAGCCCCTCTGAACAGGGACTTAAGAACAGGAGGCTCCAAATGGTGCCTCGAGTTTGAAGTCCCTCAATCCCATTGCCAGCCAAGGTGAAGGAGGATGCAAGTGGATGCAACTTGATCCAAGCCATGGCAGGGGGTGGGATGAGATGGTCTTTAAGGGCCTTTCCAACCAGATCCTTCTGTGATTCTATGAAATATTCCAGACAGGACAAACCAAGCTGCTGTAGCTGCATCTATGCAGGGGATTTTGGATCTGATCACACCATTAGCACAGAGGAGATTCCTCTGCTGTGCATGTTCCAGGACAGGAAGCACTCAGCCACTGGGAACAGCACAACAATGACACATTCAGGGGACAAGAAAAGGGCTCCAGGCCCTGAACATCTCAGAGGGCACTGAACAGCAGCCCTGCTCCCCTCCTGGCTCACCTTTGTCCCCAGAGCATCAGCACTGATCTCCTCACTGGCACTGCCTTTTCCAGCCTGGCATTGTCTAGTCTTGGACTGAGAATTTCTCAGGGAAGAAGCACAGGCTCAAATAAAACATTGTAGGGACTGCACAGAAGTGAAAACTAACGCAAATCTCTGCTCCAAAATGCAAGTGTTTCACAGGCTGTGTACTCTGAATGTTTCTTTCAAACAAATCTTTTAGGGACTCTGAGAATGTAAAAGCCAAATGCAAGGAAGGGCCTGGCCAGTTCCCTCTGGGGCAGCAGCACCTGTCCCAGGGTTAGATGTGCCTGGACATCTCCTGCTGTACTCAGACAGCTTCCCCCTGCAGGTCCTCTCCTTTCCAACCACCCCTCTGTGTCACAGCTCTGTTTCAGGATGGAGCAATGGCAGCTTTGAATGAATCCTCTTGTCTGTCCCATGTTCACTTGGCCAACTGACTCTGCTGTAGAGCTCTTTGTGTAGGTCTGGCTCTGAGACCTGGGTCACCTCAGTCAGGGAAAAGGTGCTTAAGGAAATCTGGCTTTACCAACACCTCCTTATCCTACAGAAGATGAAATAATTTCCAACAGGATCAGGGATCCAGAAGGAAAGCAGACAGCAGGTCTGCACCTGTGCAGAGCCCAAGCTGTAAGAGGCACCAACACTCCAGGCTATGTCAATGCTATGGTGGTGAAAGACTAGGGCTGAACTGAAAGGTAAAAATCCTCCCCAAACAAGCAAAAAGGTGCAAAAAGAGCCTGAGAAGAAAGGCAGTGATAACTGCAGAAGTTGCTAAGTACAGTGAAAAGACACAAAAGGCCTTTGTCTGCACTGCACAGAGGTAGGTGACCATGTTATCTGCACCTACATGATCTGGAGTCTCTTATATAACCACAGTATCTGCAATGTTTTATCCAGCAAGAGCAAAAATAGAGTTGTGCCTCCGCCTGGAATCCCTGCAGCGGGGGCAGGCACAGGAACAGCCCCCTCAGCCTCCCCTGCCAGGGAACCAAACTGAACTGGGAGGTTATTTGGGACCAGAAGGGACCACCTGCCCTTTCAGGTTCCCAGGGAGGGCTTTAGGAAGCAATCACTGGGCTTTCCAAACGAGGCAGCAAATCTGTCCACCCTTCCCCACATGTTGCCTGTGGCAGCATTCCATGCACACATCTGGGCTGGGAATGCTGAGAACCCAAGTGAGACCTCTGTATGAAGGACTTGTGGTCTCATTCTTGATTACTGCAGGTTCCTGAGCTCAGCCTAAAGGCACATCTGCCTAAAATTGTGCCTAATAATACTTTGGAATAATCTGTGTGGGAATCAGGCCCAGCTCCACTCCCCAAACTGGTCACCAGTAATCAGCGTTTCTGGGGTTCCTAAGCCTGGCCTAGAGAGGGAGCTCAAAGCTTTCTCCCCACAGCACATCATTGCCAAAGAGGATGAGAAGGACTCACCAGAGTGGACAGTGTTTGGCATGTTTGTCCTCCAGGTTCTGCTGCAGGGAACTGCCTGATGCTCAAAAGAATATTTACAGTCCAAGGAAATTAAAACCTTCACCCAAATGTCTGAGCTGGGATCTTTAAAGACATCTGTGGAGAAGGACAGAACAATCCTGGTGTGAGAAAAAGAGGTATTTCATCAGCATTAATAAACCACAAAAATAAACCAAGGGTGAAATGAGGGATTCTGCCAGTCTGGGGAGTCTGGCTGCCTCCAGGGCACGTGTGTTGGCTGGGCTGTGAACTGAGTTATTGACAGCTCTGCAGGCACCTTGAAAACTGTCCCGGAATAAATCTTACTAAATGTACAGAAACATCTGTGAAATAGCTGTGAAAGAAGCCAGAGATCGGCCACCAGGCTGAAGGAGTCGCTGGGCAGTGGGGTTTCACCAGCCCTGACACAGCTCCCTCCATGCTCACTTCAGCCCCATTCCCACCATCCCTGTGCCGGCCTGGACACACATGGATGTCACCAGGACCCCATGGAAAACATGCTCTTCATTAGTGGCTCTGTGAGTAGCCATCCACTGGGCACCTTCCTCGCAGCAATCTGCAACCTTTGCAAAGCACGTGGGGGCTGTTTCCTTTCACAGGCACCCGCTCCAGGCGGGATTTGTTTGAGATTTTCCAACAAAATAGCCCAGCTGTCACGAAGAACACGAGGGAGGGCTGACGACGTGCTACTTGTCCACCTTAAAAACATCAACGCCTTGTTTTAGGAGGGCGCGTTGGCAGCGGGACTGTCCGGCCCAGCCCCCGGGCGGGATGGACCTCGGGGTGCCGAGGGCTGGGTAAAGGCAGAGCGCTCCTCCGCGCTCCTTGCGCTCCCTCTGCCGGCACCGAGCTCCCAGAAAGAGCCGGGAAAGCCTCTGGAACCGCCCCCACCTCCCGAGCTGTATCCACGACTCCGCAGCAAATTCCACAACCGAGCTGTCCTGGAGCAGACGGGGGCAACCTTCCTGAGGCAAAGCCATGTTATGGATCCACAGGATACAACCTCTGATTATTTTATGGGTGCAAATGTGGGAATGCTTGACTCAAAGCCGTGCTGGGTAAAGCAGCGGGATCCCTGCAGCCCGGAGAACCGAGAGAACCCAGCCATGACCTGACCAGGGGAGAAGGAGGAGCAGGGGAGAGGAGCAGACTGGAAGCAGGTTTGGAAGCAGATCCAGCCTCCGTGAGGCACCTGGAGAAGGTATTTCAGGTGCAGGTATTTCCAGAGGCTGATCCCGGAGCTGAACGAAGGGATGAATTCCTGACAGGAGGTAATGGAGCCTTGGACTGGGGGTTTTCGTGTGTCTTTATAACGACCCCTGAGCATGAGAGCACATTGACAGCTGGGATCTTGCACCCAAAGCTAAAGCAGCACCCCGTGCTCTGTACAGCCGAGCTCCCCGAGCCCTGCGGGGCCGCAGCTCTGCCCTTCTGCTCCTGCCGCACGGGCTCAGGGCTCCTCCCCAGGGCTGCCAGCCCGGCCTGGCCGAAATGGAGGGGCTGGGCCCCCGTGGTGCTCAGGGAGCGCAGCTGTTGCCCTATAACTGTAACCACGACGGGTCAGCAGCCACGACTGGACAGCAACGACAGAGACGGAGAAGGCAAAACAGCCCCATAAACAGCCGGGGGGCTGCGCGGCCCCCGGGCCAGCGGCGCAGGGGAGCTCAGAGGCGGCAGCCAGGAGGGCCCGGGTGGGACACCTCGCACAGGTGCAGCCGGGTCCCCCGGTCCCCGCGGCCTCCATCGGCCGCTCCGGTTCCCCGGGACCCCCCGGGCTCCCCCGGCCCCGCGGGGCTCGGGCGGCCCAGGCCCCGCCCGTTGCCATGGGAACGGCCCGTGCCCGGTGTCGCCGTGTCTCGGCCCCGCCGCTCCGCGTCCCCGGCGCGATGGTTCCGCGGGGGGCGGCGACGGCGCGAGGGGAGCGCGGCCCCTTTAAGAGCGGCGCCGCCATGATCTGCCTGGTGCTGGGGCTCTTCGCCGGCCTCTTCCACAGCGGTGCGGGACGGGCGGCACCGGGACCCCCGACCCTGTGCCCCTGTCGGCTGGGACCCCCCCCGACCCCGCGGGCTCGGGATCCCCTCTGCCCGCTTGCCTTAGGGCCCGGGACCTTCCTTGTCCTCTGCCCCCGCGGCTCAGGGACCGGGACCCCCACCCCTGCCCCTGTGCTTCCGCACCCGCGGGCCAGGGACCTCCTGCCCATGTCCTACAGCGTCCGAAATCCCAGGGCCCGCCCTGTGCCCCTTTGTCCCTGGGACCCCCCTCCTGACCCTGCGTCCCCCGCGCCCGAGGACCCTTTCCTTTCCCCCCCGGGGTCCTGGGACACTCCCTGCCCTTGTCCCCCCGCACCCGAGACCTCAGGACCTCCCCTTGTCCCCGTGCCCGGGGCCTGGCTCCCCCTGCCCACGTGCCCCAGCATTGGGATCCTGGGACTCCCTGAGATCCTGGGACCTCCCTGTGCCCCCCTGGCTGCAGGCCCGGGGGGTCTCCTTCTCCCCCTCACCGCTGTGCCCTGTCCCCGCAGCCCTCGGCGGGGTCAATGAACGCACCTTCGTGGCCATCAAACCCGACGGGGTCCAGCGGCACCTGGTGGGGGAGATCATCCGGCGCTTCGAGAGGAAGGGGCTGCAGCTTGTGGGGATGAAGCTGTTGCAGGTGAGTGGCCGGGCCTGCCCGGGGGTCCCTGGAGCCAAGGAGCCCCCCCAGGCCCCGGCTGTGCTGGTGGCTGCAGGGGTTCTGCTGTCACCCGGCTTGCACAGCACCAGCACCGAACCCTACCAGGGCAGAGGGGTGTTGGCACTAAAGGTGCCTGAACTGCCTCAACGAGGGTGATCCCGGCTGTGGGGAGCACGGCTGTCCCTGGCTGTGTCTGTGCTCCAGGACTGGCGCTGAGCTGGCACGTGGAAACTTCTCTCTGTGTTAGGCTGCTGCTGGTTCCCTCCTGGAATTGAGCATCTGTGCAGGAGCTGGATTGTAACACACAGCATCCAGGTGTCCCTGCATCCCTCAGGTAGCTAAGCTAAGCTCTGTGCTCTCTGCAGGCCTCAGAGGAGCTGCTGAGGGAGCACTACGTGGCCCTGCGGGACCGGCCCTTCTACGGCCGCCTGGTGAAGTACATGAGCTCCGGGCCAGTGGTGGCCATGGTGAGTGTGGCCACGTCCTCTGCACCAGGGGACAGGGAGGAAGGACAAGGTTTGAGCAGCACTGGCTGTTGGCATGATGGAAACAAGGTGGCTTCTTTCCTCAGAGGGTCTCTTGAAGCTGTACTGACCTGTAGGGATGTTTTCTGTGGTAAATTAAATTGTAGCATCACTGACTGGTTTGGGTTGGAAGGGACCTTAAAGCCCATCTCATTCCATCCCCTGCCATGGGCAGGGACACCTTCTACTATCCCAAGTTTCTCCAAGGCCTGTCCAGCCTGGCCTTCAGCACTTCTAGGGATGTGGAGAAATCCACAGACAATTCTGATTATTTTCCAAAATCAGCTTTTGAAGGCTATTTGGAGAGAGCCTTTCCTGTCTCTCACCCAGATGGATCAGAGGGATTCAGAGGACAGATGTGATGTGCTGGGGCACTGTGGGGGCTGATCCTGGTTCTGTTCTCCTGTAGGTGTGGCAGGGCCTGGACGTGGTGAGGACGGTTCGCACGATGATCGGGGAGACAAACCCGGCCGAGTCCAGGCCTGGCACCATCCGAGGGGACTTCTGTGTCGAAGTCAGCAAGTGAGAGCTTTGGCTTTTTCTTCTTCCCTCAGTGTTTCAGGGCATCTTGTCCAGACACTCATGTGCCAGGCCTGCCTGAGCCATGTGAGCCTGCACGCCCAAGCAGAGCTGTTCCCTTCTGTGCTCACAGCAGAGCTGAGCTCTGCCTCCCAGGCTTGGCTTTGGCAAGAGGAGTAGCCTGGGTTTGTGTGCTTCCCTCTTCCTGAGGCCTCTGATGAAAGCAGATGGGGTTTGCCTGTGTTTTCCTCTGGGAATCAGGCTGTGAAGAGGAAGGGAGGAGCCCTCTCAGCCTTTTCCTGGGAGTAGGTGAAGGTCTATGAGTGGTGACCTTGGGTGGCCACAGCCTGGCTTGTGGTAGACACGGCTCACATTGAACCCTGCTGGCTGAGGTTTCTGTCCCTGGGTGTCCAATACCAAACTGCCTTTGACAGAAGGGAGGGGGGAAGTCTGGAGGCACAGCTGGAATTACTCACATAAAACCAAGCAAACCACTTGCAGCTCCTCCTGGAGCAAACAAATGGCTCCTCATCATAGGAGGAAGGAGTTCTGGGAATGGGCAGTTCCTGCACATCCATGTCCCACGCCCTGAGCTGGAAGAAGGGAGGGTGTGTGGTAGGAAAGAATATTTTGGGATGGGACTGGCTCCATTGCTTTAATAAATTGGTCAAGGGAAAATTTTCCAGCATCCTCTTCTACCTTCCTGTGCTGAGTGCCAGCTGATCCCTGTCTCCTCCCCCCAGGAATGTGATCCATGGCAGTGACTCAGTGGAGAGTGCCCAGCAGGAGATCTCCCTGTGGTTCCGCCCGGAGGAGCTCATGTGCTGGGAGGACACGGCCCAGCACTGGATCTACGAGTGAGGGAAGGACACCTTCCTGAGGGGACACAGGACATTTCCATCCATTTCATGGCTGTGGATCCTGCTATGGGATTCCTGTTCTGCCTGTGGGGTCCTGGGAGCTGGGCTGTGTCTGGAACAATGTGCTTCAGCTCCTGCCAAGAGTAACTGTTTCTTTTTTTCTCTCTGCTCTAGTAAGTAGCATTGTTGCTCTGTTTGCTGCAGTATCTTAAATCCCAAGTAGCTCAAGCTGATTTATTGAAGTATGTCCTGGACTCTGGGCCCGTCCCTGAGTGTTCCCAGCCCTGCCTGGTGCAGGAGAATGTGTGTTCCTTGCTGCTGGGAGAGGTGCTGGTCACGACAAGGTGATGGGATTGATAGAATTTACCTGCATTTCTAGAAGGCTTTTCACCAAAGGCTTTTAAAGAACTAGGCTGCTGTGGAGGAAAATTCTCCCTTGGGGTAAGAGTGCATTCCAAAACAAGGAATGAAGGATGGAACAATCCCTCTCCCTTGGTGGGAGGTTCATGTGTTGGGGTTGCACAACCCCACCCGGCTTCAGACACCATCAGTGAGTCCATGGAAAGAAGTTTCTCCAAAGGCTGTTAAACGCACAGTTTCTCTGGCTCCAGTTCCTGGACTGGGAGCAGGGAAGCAGCTTCTCCAGCTGTGCTCTGGTTCTCTGGGGCTGCACAGCCCTGGCCTGACCCCGCACCCTCGGTCCCACGCTGCCCCTGCCTGGGGACTGACACAGGCTGGTGAAGCTGCAGCACTGGGGCAGCCAAGGAATAGAAGGGGGAGAGTGAGGCAGGGAAGGATTTGTGGATTTGGGACTCAGGAAGGACTAGGATTATTTAGTCCTCTCTTGTGACAGTGCAGGCTGTGGAGTCCTGGCACTGAGCTCTGGGAGATCCTGAGTTGTTCTTTGTTTGATGGTGGAGCTTCCCTGCTGGGAGGGGATCTGGAGACCCAGTTTGTAATGGGCTGGACACCCCCTGTGAGCTCTCAGTGGGGCCACCCAGCTCCTCAGAGCTGTGCTGGGTCTGGAGTGTAAGGACAGGGACAGTGACATGGCATCCTGCCATGGAACAGGGACACAGTTAAACTCAGGGAACGAGATCCCCTGGGGCTTTCCTGTGTGTAGGGTTTTACCTGTGCCTTAACAGCCTGTCCCGCTCTGGCTCCCGAGCTCTGGAGCTTCTGGGGGATGAGGGCAGCTCTCTGGGGGCAGGGAGAACTCACTCCACTCCCACTCTGGGCTAGGGGTCTCCCTCCAGTGGGGCCTCCCTTCCCTTCCCTCAGCTGCCCAACTGCCTCAGCCTGGCTCCTCCTGCCTTGGCCTTCTCCAGGAGCCTGCTTACAGCTCTAAATACCTGACAGATCCCATTTGTTCCTGGAACTCCTCCATTTGGCTGAGCCCAGAGTCTGGCTGCAGGAGACACTGGCAAAGTAAAGACTGAGGTGTGAAGAGAGCAGGAGGAATATTTCATTTGTTATTTAATAGATGTATTGAAAAAAGCTGTTGGCTCCAAGAATTGCCAGTTCTGTGACACAGGTAAACTGTGGCCAAATCCCTGAGCATCATCTCTTGCCATTGCCTTTTCCCAAGGGATCCCTCTTCTGTTGGCACAGATGAGATTTAAGGTGCCCTCCCAGTTTCAAAGCACACTGGATTCCAGTCAAGTAACGGCCCTGACTCCTCAAGGCACAGTCAGGGCCAGCCCTCTCCTCCTCCCTGTGTGTAGTTTGGTCTCTGCCATGAACTCGTCCCTCTCCAGGGCCCGACGGAGCAGCCCCAGTGCAGGGAAAGGGCCCCAGAGGCGCCGCTGTGTGAGCGGGGACAGGGCTGGGCTGGGGGTTCCTCCAGCCCCCGTGACTTTAATTGCTTTGCATGTTGGTTCCTGCTGCTTCTCCTCTGTCCAAAACTCTGTTAAACTGTAACAATAAAAGTAGAAACTGTCTGTGGATCCTCTCAGGGCTCTTGAAGGCAGGAGCCTGCAGGTGCTTGGCAAAAATAGCCAGGCCAGCCCAGCCAACAGCTGGAGGAAGGTTTTGGGTGCACCAGTTGTGTGTCAGAGCTGGAGGAGGTGAAGGCAGTGATCCCCTTGTCTCTGCCCTGTGCAGGGCTCCGGTGCTTCCCCCTGAACCAGCAGCATGGCTGGGATGATCCCCAGTGGAGCCAGACCGATGCTGCAGCACCGTGTGCTCGTGGCAGCAGAGCCAGAGGGCTCTGTGCTCCTGCAGGACTCAGGGAATCACAGAATAGTTGGGGTTGGAAGGGACCTCTGGAGATCACCCAGTCCAACCCCCTGCCAAGGCAGGGTCACCTGGAGCAAGTGACACAGGAACATGTCCAGGTGGGTTTGGAATGTCCACAGAGAGGGAGACTCCAACCCTCCCTGGGCAGCTGTTCCAGAGCTCTGCCACCTGCATGGAAAGAAGTTCTGCCTCATGTTGAGATGGAATTTCTTGTGGTTTAGTTTCTGGCTGTTGCTCTTCATCCTGTCGCTGGGCACCATCAAAAAAGTCGTGTACTGGATGCCAACCCCCTGCCAGTCCCTGCAGCTCCTGTGATCAGCCCCTGGCTTCTGCTCCTGGGGCTTTGCCCTGGATTTTGAGCAGTGTGTTTGCTGAGGATTTGGGCCTGAGCTGGTGCCATCAGCTAAGCAATACAGGGTATTGGAAAGTGGAAGAGGGCCGAAATTATGGGATGGGAAATGGCTTTTAACCTGTTCTCTCCATGGTTTCCTCCCAGCACTGTTAGTGGATTGATAGAACACAAAGCTCCAGCTGCAGTGTGGAGCAGGACAATCCTCTCCCTCGACCACCTGAACCCCAGGATACACTTGGCCCTTTTGGCTGCCACTGCTGACTCTGATTCAACTGACCCAAACCCCCAGGTCTGTTTGCTGGGCTGCTCTCCACCCTCTCATCCCCCAAACTGTGCGTGTGACCTGTCCCAGGTGTGGAACCCAGCACTTGCTCCTGTTAAACACCACATGGGGGGTGACTGCCCAGGTCTCTGTAAGGGCTCTCTACCCTGAGGGACCCCACAGCTCCTCCCAGTTTAGTATTGTTGTCAAACCTACTTAATGTACATTAAATTCCTGCATCTGGATGATTTATAAAACACTCAGTGGCAGCAGTCCTGAAACTGAGCCCTGGGGAGCCCCACTGGTGACTGTCCCGATGTGACCCCATTACCCTTTGAGCTCAGCAAGCTGCTCACCCGGTGCAAGGGGCACTTGTGGAGCTGTGGGGGCCAGTTTATCCAGGAGACTGGGAGAAATGGTATCAAAAGCTTTACTAAAACCCCAAACCACCACATCTACTGTCTGCCCTCGATGGCTTTGACACAAAGCTGGAGGAAGTGCCCAGGAAGTTCCACCTGGACATGAGGAAGAACTTCTTTGCTGATCAGTGACCAAGCACTGAACAGGCTCCCCAGGGAGGGGGTGAAGTGCTTCTCACTGGGGATATTCCAGAACCTCCTGGACACAATCCAGTGCCATGTGCTGTGGGATGACCCTACTGGAGCAGGGAGTTGGGACCAGATGACCCACACTGGCTGTGACTGATGACTGCCTTGTCTTTCAAGTGTTTTTCAGTAACTCCCTGAATAACCATCTCCATAATTTTACCAGGCACTGAAGGGAGACTGACAGGCTTGGAGGTTCCAGGGTCTTCCTTCTTTCCTGCTTGAAACCTGGGACATTTGGCAGCTTCCAGTCAACAGAGATCTCTCCAGACTCCCCAAACCACTGCAAAATACCAGAGCAGTCCCACGATGGCATCAGCAGCTCCATCAGTACCCTGGGATGGATCCCATCGTGTCCCAGCACACCCAGCTGGAGCAGCCAGTCCCAAACTGGTTCAGGGTCCGCCGGGAGTTTGTCATCCCGCAGTCGGGGTCTTCCAGCAGAGCACTCCGGGGATCCCAGCGCCTCCAGCCTTGTCCACAACATCCCCTCTTTGGATGTATTGTATAACTGTTTCCCCTTATAGTTACACATTCCCTAAGTTGTATTTCCTCCTACGGAATAAACCTGAGCTTGTTTAAGTGCGCCTGGGACATGAGGGGCTCTGAGGACGAACGCGGCTTCCTAGAGGCTTCACGCCAACGACTTCTATTGGGCTGCACCGAGCGCTGCTCGGCGAGTGACGGGGACGCGGGCAGCGGCTCCGAGAGCCCTGAACAGCCGCTGCTGCCGCCGCCTCACACCTTCCCCGATTCAGCCCCGCAGCGCCGGGCGCGGGTGCCCAGCGGGTCTGGCCCCGCTCAGCTCCGGCGGTGCCTCAGGCGGTGCCTCAGCCGCTCCCTGAAGGCCCCCGGGCCGCCATTGCCGCCATGTTGCCGGGCCTCCCTCCCAGGCCGGGCGGGGGCTGCCGGGACGGGGCGGTGCCGGCGGCGGGGATTGGCCCTCCTTAGTCACGTGCCCCGGGGCGGCCCCTTCGCGCGAGGCGTGGCCGCGGCGGCGGCCGCTGATTGGCCGCGGCGCGCGCGGCCCCGGCGCGAGGGCAGCGCCGCCCACGTGACGCGGGCGCGGGGCTGGAGCGGGGCCGGGGCGGCCGCGAGCGGCGGGTGAGTGAGGGGGGGGCGGGGGCACCGACCCGACCCGGCACCGGCACCGCCGCCCCGGGGCCCGCTCAGCCCCGGGACCCGCTCACGGGAGTGTCCGGCCCTCCGTGCAGCGGGAGAACAGGCGGCCCGAGCGCAGCCCCGGCCCCGGGAGGTGCAGCCCCAGGCCGGTGTTTGTGCCCGGGGATGCTGGGCCCTGTCACAGACCGTCTGGCGGGGACGTTTTGGTTCCCTGGCAGCTGGATTTCCTTCAGCCCTTACACATGGAGCGGTGTGGTGTGAGACCTGTGGATGGACAGGAGGGGCAATGGGAGGCTGCCAGCGCTGGAGGGAATTCTGGTGCAAGGACTGACTTACTCTTTCTTTCTCTCTAACAATTGCAGCAGGCGCTGGCAGCACAGCCCTCTGTCCTTTCCCAGGAAAACTCCCAAACCAAAGGACTTGTCCTGCTGCCGACACCCCCCATCATCCTCAGCCAGCGGTGAGATCCCTCCGTGCAGCCGGACAGCCCTTCCCTGATGCAGAGGGAACGATGCCGTGAGGGCTGGTGAGCCCTGGCCAGAGCCATGACAGAGCCCCACAGGGTGTCGTTCACCACCCTGCACGGCCCCCTGAGCAGCAGCTTCCTCAAGAGGTCCCGCAGGGAGGACGGGGAGCAGCCCCCGGAGCCCGAGCCGACGGCCACGGCCGTGCGGATCACACTGACCCTCTTCGAGCCCGACCACAAGCGCTGCCCCGAGTTCTTCTACCCAGACCTGCTCAAGAGCTGCCGGGGGAAGGTCAAAGGGAGCTCCTCGGGTGACAAGGTGAGTGCCCTCCTGGCCTCTGGGAACCCGTGCCGTGCCTGTCTCAGCGTTGCTGCTTTGGGAGCTGGTTCTGTGTCTGCTGTGAGGGGGGGAGGAGGGTACCTGAACATCCCACAGGCAGGAGAACTGACGTCCAGACAGGATTCTTTGTCAGGCCACACTGTGTCACTCCTTTGCCTTGGCTGGAATTTTGTGTTGGAAAGGTGTTGTGTTGCTGGCAGGCTGTGGGATGTAAAGCCTGTTTAGTTTAGAAAGGACTGATCTGAAGTGGGGTTTGGTACCTGCTATTCTCCAAAGAGGACCAGAGGAGGGGTGTTTCTGGAGTATGTGGCTGTATCTTTTTGAGGCCTGTGCTCTGCTGCACATCAATATTCCCACTTCAGTCCTTGGTATCTCCTTATGTGTGGGGGATGTGGTGCTTTCAGGTGTTACCTGACAGTTCTCTTTGCTGTCAAAAGCCATTTCTCAGGAAACAATGACATGCACACTCCTGCAGAATCTAAACTTTGTATTATGAGTGGTTTTCTATGGAAAGAAACTTACTGGATTCTGCCATTTTTTACTGTTGCTCTTCAGAACTGATTGCAGTCAGGTAGGGTTTAATGCTGCTTATTTTTAGAGTTTTTTTGGGAGTTGGGAGAAACAGAGGCAGGTACAGAACTAGTTGAGAGAGCACCCAAAACAGGGACACTTTCAGAATTACAGAGTGTTTTGTGTTGGAAGGGACCTTCAAACCCATCTCGTTCCACCCCCTGCCATGGGCAGGGACACCTTCCACTGTCCCAGGTGAATCCAAGCCCTGTCCAGCCTGGCCTTGGACACTTCCAGGGATTCAGGGGCAGCCACAGCTTCTCTGGGCAACCTGTGCCAGGGCCTCACCACCCTCACAGGGAAGAATTCCTTCCTAATATCCCATCTAACCCTGCCCTCTGGCAGTGGGAAGCCATTGCCCCTTGTCCTGTCCCTCCATCCCTTGTCCCAAGTCCCTCTCCAGCTCTCTTGGAGCCCCTTTAGGCACTGAAAGGGGCTCTCAGGTCTCCCTGGAGCCTTCTCTTCTCCAGGTGAACCCCCCCCAGCTCTCCCAGCCTGGCTGCAGAGCAGAGGGGCTCCAGCCCTTGGAGCAACTCTGGGGCCTCCTCTGGACTTGCTCCAACAGCTCCGTGTCCTTCCTTCCCCATATCTGGAGGCAGCTCTGCAGGGGGGTCTCACCTGAGGGGGCAGAGGGGCAGAATCCCCCCTCCCCTGCTGCCCACGCTGTGGGATCAGCCCAGGGCACGGGGGGTTTCTGGGTCCCAGCACACACAGCCAGGGCACATCCAGCCCCTCACCCACCAGCACCCCCAGATCCTTCTCCCAGGACTCATGAGGTTCCCATGGTCCCATTTCTCCAGCGTGTCCAGGTCCCTCTGGATGTCCCATCCCACCCTTCAGGTGAGTCAACCACTGCACACAGCTTGGTGCCATCTCCAAACACACTGAGGGTTGTGATCCCCCTGCCCGTGTCACTGAGGAAGACATGGAACAGCCCTGTACCAAAGCCTGTCCCAAAGGCTGACTTGGCTGGTGCTCCAGTTGGGATGGGTTTAATTCATGGTGTTTTGGTAGCAGCATTGACTCTGGTGGTTTTGTGTCTTTTATTTTTGCAGAAGAAAGACCCAACTGATCCTTTTAATGATGAGGAGAAGGAAAGGCATAAAGTGGAGGCTCTTGCAAGGAAGTTTGAAGAAAAATATGTAGGTGTTTGTTCTTTCTCTGCTGTTATTCCTGGGGGTGGGCAGTGCTGGTTAATGCTCCTGGCTCTCAGGCTCCCTTTCTCCCCCAGTCCTTTATCCTGGCTGGCACGTGCTGGTTTTTATGTTCCTTTTCTGTCTCAGGGCTGCAAAAATAGTTCAGATTCGTTCTTAAGTCAGATCTGCCTGATTAAAGCGAATGACATGAATTAAAGTGAGTGGCAAATCACTGACTATAATTGATAAAATTTAATTTCCTCGAGCAAAAATTAATTTCTAGGCCTTGTTGCTGTGGCAGGATGAAATCTGCCAAGTCTGTGAGCACAGGACTGTGGTGAATCCACTGCCCTCAGGGCAGTGCTGTCTTACCTGTTTCTTTCTGTTCTTCCTCTCACTTTTGCAATAAAACCACGTTGTGTTTACTACTGGCACTTTTGAGTAGCAAGTTGTATGTTGTCTCGTGATACAGGTTTGCCCCATGGGTCACCCTAACACACTCTGTGTGTGTGGTGCCTGCAGTACCGAGTCTGTGCTCACTGTGTAGCAGTTATGGAAGAGCAATCCATAGGGAAAAGCCCTGGCAGGAATGTTGAAGGGGTGCAGACCCAGTTCAGCATGAAGCCTGCTGGCACTAAGTCAGCTTAGTGCAGGCAGTGATTTGTTTAATTTGGCTGCACTGTTTTGATTCTGTATGGAAAAGCCTAAAACTGGATTTACCACATCCTGAGAGTCCAGTGGGATGTGTTAACCCTGGTTTGGTTCTGCTGCAGCTCATTCTCTTTCCTGTCCTGGAGCCAGTGTCTGTGTCCTGTATTGGGGCTGTCCCTGTGGTAGCTGCAAAAGGTCACAGTGTCAATCTTTGCTTGTTTAGGGGGGGAAGAGGCGCAGGAAGGACCGGATTCAGGACCTGATTGATATGGGGTACGGCTACGACGAGTCCGACTCCTTCATCGATAACTCTGAAGCTGTGAGTGCTGGGGTGGGTGTGAGGGTGGGTAAAAGGGACAGCCTGGGGGCTGAGCTGGCACCTCAGGATCAACCAGGAGTGTGCCAGCACTGAGGAATGAGAGATTCTGGGGCAGGAGGATGCTGGTGAGCATTCCACAGCCTTGTCGGGTCTTGGGGGAGCACCATCTCTTCACTCTCATGAGCAGTGACAGGACTTGAGGGAATGGCATGAAGCTGAGTCAGGGGAGGGTTAGGCTGGATATCAGGGAAAGGTTCTTCCCCCAGAGGCTGGTTGGGCACTGCCCAGGCTCCCCAGGGCAGTGGGCACGGCCCCAAGGCTGCCAGAGCTCCAGGAGCATTTGGACAATGCTCTGAGGGACAGGGTGGGATTGTTGGGGTGTCCTGGGCAGGGCCAAGGGTTGGACTGATGATCCCTGTGGGTCCCTTCCAACTCAGGATATTCTGTGATTCTATGAATCCCACTCCATTTTCCAAACAGTTCAGCTATGGGATAAAGTAACAAAACTTACAGTGCCAATAAACTGTTCTCTGTTGTTTCCAGTACGATGAGCTTGTTCCTGCTTCTCTTACTACAAAGTATGGAGGGTTTTACATCAACTCGGGGACGCTGCAGTTCCGTCAGGCATCTGAGTCTGAAGATGACTATGTCAAAGAGAAGAAGAAGAAGTGTCCCAAGGTCAGCAGGGCAGCTTTCTTAATTATTTCCTCTGTTAGAACTCGCTGCATGAAAGTGTGTTGACATTCAGACTGGGAGAGATTTGTGACTTGGTGTGTGCAAAATAGGGATGAGCACTTGAAATCCCATTGTGTCCCTATATTTCATAGTAAAATAAGGCATGTCTGGTGTGGCATGGATGAAACTCTGATGGAGTTGCCTGGTTCCTAGAGCAGCTCCCTGTCACCCTGGAAGTCACTTGGCATGGTGGCGGTGAGGAGTAGAAGCTGGGTGTGCTGTCAAAGGCAATGTGTGCCAGAACCATGGGGATACATGTAGGGGGGTTGGGTTAATGTGTCCAGTGTTTTGAAATTCTTGGGAAAGGTCCCAAAGTGTCTCTGGGAGTGCTGGTAGTGTTGTGGGAGACTCTGATTGTGACTTGGCTTTATTTAACCCTCTGCAGAAGCGGAAGTTGAAAGACGGAGGTGAAAAAATGAAGAAGAAGAAAAAAGATGATTCTTACGACAAGGAAAAGAAATCCAAGAAGTCCAAGTTTCCAAAAGCTGGGTAAGGAGGCGGAGGAGGGAATTCTTGCTGCTTGACACCTTGCTTCAGGGTGGCTCAGTAGGACCTGTTGCAGTGTGGAGTGGCCTGAATGCACTTTGCACAAACCCTGGCAGGAAAACCCCCATTGCTTCCAAAGTGGGAAAGAAAGGCAGGTGATGATCAGGGAAGGAGCACAGCTCCACAGCAAGAGTATCCAAGCAAAGACAGGCACAGCTGGCTGCAGTGTTGATGTTTGATGGAGTCTGTTTAGATACTGAGGGTGGGAACAGATACTTAGAGTGGGGAGAAGGACAGCTGTTGGGAAAAAGTTGTGAGAGGAAAGACAGGTGGGAAGGGCTTGGACTCGGGGCCATACAAGTGCCAGGCTGGCAGGGAGGGAGAGGTTAGAAGGCTGTGTTGCTGCTCTTGCTGGGCATTTGTGCTCCTGCCCAAAGTATTTCTTGGATGCGTGCTCAGCTTTTTTGCAGCTTTTGGGCTGTAAAATTAGTGGGTTTTCATTTTGTTCTGAGTCATCTTGTGCTGTTGCTCTGTCCTTGCTTTTGTCTGCCCAGCCTTTCTGTTTCATTGTCTATATCTGTTGCTTTTGACTATTTTCTTACATTTTCCTCCTGTTTCTTTTCCTTCTTCCTGTAACTGTTCTTTGTGATTTCTTTTTCCCTGCATGGATCTGCTTTTGGGCAACACCAAACCATGTGTGACATGGTACCGCCAGGGTGCGATTCCTTTGTAGCGAGCAAGGAAAAGGAATCTGCTCTCCTGGTTTTAATAGGCAAAAAGCTTCATGAAATTCTCTCTTGCTTCAGTTTCCTCTGCACTAGTGGCTTGTGCATTTCCCAGTCTTCCCTGCTGGAATAATACATGTAACTAAATAAAAGTATAGCTTGGTGGAGATGGTTTAAGCCCCAGCACCTCTCTGCAGTGAGGCAGGACAGCCTTCCCTTCTCAGAGCTGAACAGGCAGCATGACCTTAAGAGGCTGTAGAACACGTTTCCTGGTGTAATTGGTTAAGGGGCTAAGACTTTCCAGGGAACTGGTGAAATGGGGTGAAGGTATCGTTCTGCTCCTTGGTCTTATGTTCAGTTCCCTTTCCTCCTCCATACTTTGTTTGCAGCTTCACAGCGTTAAATGCAAGTAAGGAGAAGAAGAAGAAAAAATACTCTGGAGCTCTCAGTGTCAAGGAGATGCTGAAGAAGTTTCAGAAGGAGAAGGATGCTCAGAAGAAAAAAGATGAAGAGCAGAAAGTGGTGGCTCCTTCCCCAGCAGACCCTGCGGGCCCGAGGGAGGCAGAGGCGATGCCGGACCCGCTGCTCTCGCTCTTCGGCCACGCCAGTGACACCGACCTGCTCCAGGCAGCCACAGCCATGGACTCCCTGAGTGACCTGGACCTGGAGAGGCTCCTCAGCGAGTCCCCAGAGGGCAGCCCCTTCCCTGATGTGGAGGATGGGAGCGATCCTGGTGGCACAGGCTTGGAGCAGGATTTCAAGCAGCCGCCGTCCCTCCCTGAAGGCCTCCCAGCCCCGCTGGAGAAACGCATCAAAGAGCTGGCTCAGGTATGGCAGGGAGGGGACACTGGCACTGCTGGTCACTGGGGAGGGGACAGCTCTGCTGGGTTTGTGTGGCAGGGACAGAGAACATTCCACTGGGGCAGTTTTGCAGTGCCACTGGGCTCACCCCTTTGTGTCACACTCTAAGGCACTTTCTTGAAGGCCCAGATGTCAGGAGGTGTCAAAGTCTGGGCTTTGTTGTCTACTGAATGTACCACACCTGTCAGGATTCCTTCTTTATCTCTCTTGGCAAAGTATGGACCTGATGCAAGAGGTGATTTCCAAAGTCAGTTTAACATGAATGAACCTAAATGTGCACTAGTGGGGCTGGAGGACTGTTTTGGGCTGAGGTGGAGTTAATTTTCTCCATGGTAGCTGGTGGGCAAGCACTGATCTCTTCTCTGTGGGGACCAGTGGCAGGTCTTGAGGGAATGGCCTGAATTGTGGCGGGGGAGCTTTAGGCTGGATATTAGAAAAGGGTTCTTCCTCCACAGGGTGGTTGGGCACTGAACAGGCTCCCCAGGGCAGTGGGCACAGCACCAAGGCTGACAGGGCTCAAGGAGCATTTGGATGATCCTCTTAGGCACATGGTATGACTCTTGGAGATGGGCCTGAGCAGGAACAGAATTGGACTTGATGGTCCTTGTGGGTCCCTTCCAACTCAGCACATTCTGTGATTCTGTGTGGGGCTGGTTTGGATTTTTGCTGAAAATAGTGTTGATAACCCAGGGATGTTTTTATTATTGCTGAGCAGTGAGTGCTTACACAGTGCTGCTCCTCACCCCACACTGCCAGCGAGGGGGCTGGGGGTGCACAAGGAGCTGGGAGGGCACACAGCCAGGAAAGCTGATCCCAACTGAGCACAGGGATATCCCAGAAACATGGGGTCATGCTCAGTGTACAGAGCTGGGGGAAAGAGAAGGAAGAGGGGGAATGTTTGTTTTCCCAAGTCACTGTTACATGTGATGTAGCCCTGCTCTCATGGGGATGGCTGAAAACCTGCCTGCTGAGGGCAAGGGGGAATGAATTCCTTGTTTTGCTTTGCTTACGTGGCTTTTGCTTTCCCTATAAACTCTTTAGATAAACCCACGAGTTTTCTCACTTTTGCCCTTCTGGTTCTTTCCCCCATCCCTTGAAAGGGAAGTGAGTGGCTCTGTGGGGCTGAGTTGCAGGCTGGGGTTAAACCATGACAAGGACAAATTCCACCATAATGTCTTTAATGTGCTGTGCTGCTCAGGACAGCAAAGTGGTGCACAGTCCTCTGTAGGTAAAATAAGAGGATGCAGCTGGAAAGCATCACCAGTTCTACAGGGTGAGAAGGCCTGGAAAGCCCTGTAGATGGGGCTTGAGGGTTGGCTGAAGCTGTTTCCCATGTCACACACAGGCAGATGCCTTCACAGGGCACCATTTGACGTCTCCCACATTGGAGCTGCTCCACTGGCAACTGGAGTCCTTTACCCACCTTAACATCTCGGGGTTGAGGTACCATTTAGGGAGTGGAATATATTAATTTCTAGAAAGGTGATAGTCTGTCTTTTCACCAGTAGTTCCTCCTGCAGCTGGACTCCTGTGGGACTCATCTTCTCCCAAATGTGCTGTGCTTTGGGGCTCTCCAGTCTGCTTTGGAGAAAGAAAACACTGGGTGCTGCTCAGGGATCCCTCTCCTGGCGTGTCAGAGTGTGCTTTCAGATTTGTGGGGCTTCTCTGGTGTGAGGGCTGACACCACCAGCCTGTCAACAAGTGATGAGATGTTTTGCTCCTGCTACTGGTGTGTTTTTGAACATTGATTTTAAGTCATAAACTTGCTCTTGGACCTCTGTGGTGGTGTGTGTTTTGCCCTCTGGGGCACATCAGTTTAGGGCACCTCTTACTAAGTAAGAGATATTGAATAACTCCTGTTACTGAAGATAAGCTGCTGTTAGAGAACTGTTCTGCTGAGAAATTACAGTGGGGGTGAGTAGATAGAGGGGAAGGAGGAACTGAAGAAAGTATTGCCACAGCTGATAATAAGAACAGGCTCTTCATGGATGTTTCTATTTCAGAAAGTGCCAAAACAGCTGTTTCTAAATATATCTGAGTTAAAGGAGAATATTTTGGAGGCTCCCATGATATCAGGTTAATTGTTATTGTGTTTCAAGACAGTATAATAGCAGATTAGCCACAGATTTTCCTGCTTAGATATTTTGTTGCTGGACTGTGTATGTTAGGAAAAGAAACCAAGGAAGAGATAAGATGTAACAATCTCTGTGTCAGTTGGGGTTTTGGGACATGGACTGTGTTGTAGGTGGGAATGAAGAGGTGCTGTACCTCTGTCTGAGAGCCAAGTCTCTTCCCAGCAGGTGGGAGCATCTCCTGAGCTAAATGGAGCTTCCAGGCATTCCCTCTTCTATTTGAACTGATTCCACTTTAACTTTCTCTTCTCTTCCTAAGATAGTTTTCCTGTTGAGGATTCTCCTTAGCATTGAGACTTTTCCTTTGGTATCACCAGCTGTCTGTGACCTGCTGCTGGCAGAGAGGAATCTGCACCTTCTGGGCATAAATTAATCGTTTGCCAACCTTGGAATGGCAAATCAGGGGATTTCAAAATCATGCCCTCTCCTGGTCTCCTTTTCACTTTCTGGATGTGGTGCCTCGTGATGAATCCCAGTTTTGTTTATATCCCCACTCAGAAGAGACTGAAATCTCTTGGCAATTTGCTGCTATCTCATTCATCTCTTGGAATTATTTTCCTGCTGGACATATTTTTCATGGGTGTGATTTTTTTGGGCAGCACTGTGTGATCTGCAGTCATAGCTCAGGAAGCTTCCTGACCAGGACTTTTTCTTGTTGTTTCCATGGTGTTAACTGGGAATAACACCTCCCCTGTGGCTGTGACTCTTTCTGTTGGTTTCTTGGCTTAGTTTCCAGATTGATCTAGAAAACCTGGTGATGAGTCCCGTCAACCCTCATTAAATGTGCTTAGGATGATTTTTCCTGTTCCAGGGACAAGCTCTGTGCTCACATTGCTCAATCCAACAGCTCTGCTGTGAAGTTAAAGCCATGCCCTGAAACTGTTGTTCTTCCCATGGGAAGTTTGCTAAAGAAGCCAGTTGCTCCCAAGCCATCTCCTTTGTCCCATTAAAAGGAGGAATCTTCACTCCAGAGTAGTAAATCCAGTGCATCTAGAGGGGAGAATCCAGAATGGGAAGGTCTGTGGTAGGACATGGTGTTACCAGGTCAGGGTTGGACTTGAACTGGGGAGTTGTAAGAGGACAGGGCCCAATCTCCCTTCTCCTGTCAATTGTGGCAGCTTTTGGGTGGTGCAGAGTGTATGGAATAAAACTGTGCTTTGTTTTGCATTGTTTCTGTGGTGGTTTAGAAAACACTCAGTTGCTTGTGCCATCTGTGAACTGCTGCTGACTTGTGTTATTTACCAACTTGCAGGCTGCCAGGGCTGCCGAGGGAGAAGGCAAACAGAGATTCTTCACTCAGGATATCAACAACATCATACTGGAGTAAGTGCTGCCAGCATGGAAAGGGTGGGAAAGGAGAATTTTGGTGAATTCAGGAGCAGGTTTAGCAGGAGATCTTGTCCTTGTACAGGTCTTCCAGGCAGAACATGCCTGGGAAGACAGGAAAATCGCTTGGAAATGGCTTTCAGCTGAAATATGCTGAGGTAGGAGAATGTTGGAGGGGTTATATCCAGGCTTCCTGTTCTCAAGATGGTGCTTGATATTTGTGTGCCTGAATTCGGTCACTTGACTTGCGAGTGTAGCTCGATGCAAGAACAGCAAATTTTCCCCTGTCAGAAATATCAGCCATGTTCTTTGCTATGTAGGTTATATGCAATATGGAATATTTTATAACTGGGATAAGGCTTCTGTGTTCTGGCTCTCTGGGCAGACTGGAGGAGCTCCATTCCTGCTCTGTGTTTTTGAGGCCCCAAATTACAGAATGCCAGTGTTGCTCAGGCAGCTGCTGGTAGATAGATAATGGCTTCATTCTTCTGCAGGTGCCTGGAGAAGGCTGCTGAGTGCACAGGGCTTTGTGATCAGTGTAATAATACTGACACACAGGCTTTAATTTCATTAAGGTTTATCAAGGCACTTGCAGTGAACTGCTGGAGGGAGGTTTGGGACTGTGTTGCCCTCTCATTTCAAGGGGCGATTCCCACCTTCCAGCATTGCAGTGCTGGCTGCACACAGTCCTGTCTGATGTCAAACTGATCACTTCAGCCACAGCCAGAGGAGGTTTAGATTGGTTTGTATGACTTTGCTGTAGAATTGGGGTCAGGACAATCCCAGACATGAATATAAGCTGAGAGAACTCATTGAGAGCAGCCCTGGGAGAAGGATCTGGGGGTGCTGGTGGGTGAGGGGCTGGACATGCCCTGGCTGTGTGTGCTGGGACCCAGAAACCCCCCGTGCCCTGGGCTGATCCCACAGCGTGGGCAGCAGGGGAGGGGGGATTCTGCCCCTCTGCCCCCTCAGGTGAGACCCCCCTGCAGAGCTGCCTCCAGATATGGGGGAACCAACAGCACAAGGATGTGGAGCTGCTGGAGAGAGTCCAGAGGAGGCCACGGAGATGCTCCAAGGGCTGGAGCCCCTCTGCTCTGGAGCCAGGCTGGGAGAGCTGGGAGTGTTCACCTGGAGAGGAGCTCTGGGGAGAACTTCTTCTGGCCTTTCAATACCTAAAGGGAGCTTAAAAGAGAGGCAGAGTGACTTTTTACACAGACAGATAGTGATAGGACAAGGGGAAATGATTTTAAACTAAAAGAGGAGAGATTTAGATTAGAAATTCTCCCCTGTGAGGGTGGGGAGGCCCTGGCACAGGTTGCCCAGAGAAGCTGTGGCTGCCCCTGGATCCCTGGAAGTGTCCAAGGCCAGGTTGGATGGGGCTTGGAGCAGCCTGGGCTGGTGGAAGGTGTCCCTGCCCATGGCAGGGGGTCGGATGAGGTAGTTCCAACCCAAACCATCCTGTGATGATGATGATGGAAATGATGAATCAGCTGGGTTTTTTTTACATTTATTATTGACACTGAGAAGTGGCTTAAAAAGCCAGTCTCTCAAGTTATGTGTAACTGTGTAGATGGGTTTGGCACACACTGACCTCTCTAATCTACTCTCTGGGAAGTAAATTGAAACCCAAGGGATGGGGTTTGATTCCATATTGTCCTGAATTAAACTGCCATACACCTAGCATACACATAACCAGTGTGTAGTTCTGCACATTGCCTGACACTCCTTCACTTCAGCTGCCAGGGAGAGCTGCAGGACAAGTGAGAATGCTGACATCCTGTTTTTCCTTTTCCAGCTGCTCTGAGACCAGAGTGAAAGGCACAGCTTGGGATAAAATGCCTGAGTCTGTTGATTCTAGAACATAAAGAGCCTCCATGCAGTTTGGCTTGTCCCATGTCCCTCTCTCCCAGCTCCCTGGGTTGCCTCAGAGTGTTATGGATGTTGCTTAGGGAATCCCTGCCAGGTTCCTGGTGAACACTGTGTTTGTTTTTTCCCTCAGCATAGAGCTGCAGACCCGGGAGCTGAGCAGTCAGGTGAGGTCAGGGGTGTATGCACACCTGGCTGCCTTCTTCCCCTGCAGCAAGGACACCCTGGTCAAGCGGGCCCGGAAGCTTTATCTCTATGAGCAGGTGAGGGATGGGCAGCACAGCCCTGTCTCCTGTGTGTGTGTGTGTGTTATCCCTGAGCTCCAGGGCTCAGCTGCTGTCCCCTGACCTGGTGGTGTCCTGCCCTGAGCACGGCTCAGGCACTGGGGTGTGTTCAGGCCTGGCCAGGGCTCGCCCTGCCAGGTTTGGGGGTCCTGGCTGGGCTGGAACACCCCAGTGGAGCCTCAGTGTGTTCTGTGCTTGCTCTAGGGCGGCCGGTTGAGGGAGCCCCTGCAGAAGCTCAAGGAAGCCATTGGCAGGGCCATGCCAGAGCAGGTTGCCAAGTACCAGGAGGAATGCCAAGCCCACACTCAGGCCAAGTTTGCCAAGTAAGCTCCTTGTTTGCTCTTTCTGCACCTGTAGCTTTTTCCAGCAGGCTCCCTGTGGCCTAGAGGCTGCTCTCCTGAAGTTTATTTACCACCTCTTTTTGTTCTGTAGGAAAAAATTGCTGATGGGCATTGGTTGGCCTAATTAAGCTGTGTTTGTTCTCTGTGCTGTCTGTGGCAGTGCCAGCTGCAGCAGCACTGATGGGACCAGAGCTTGACAGAAGTGTTCCACGTGTGCAGGCGTGTCTTTGAGAACGTGGCAGCCTGGGAACAGCCAGGCTGGATTAGTCCCATGGTCTCTATTACAAAATATTGGGAGATTTCCTAACCTTGAGCCCTCAGCTCAGCTTGCACCCTAAGCCAGAGATCATTGACTGCTGAGAGCTCTGACCAGTGCTGGTCAGACATGTTTAATCCTCTCCTTGAGCCTCTTGACTTCCACATTTTCTGTCTCCATTTTAGGATGCTGGAGGAGGAAAAGGACAAGGAGCAGCGAGATCGAGTTTGTTCTGACGATGAGGAGGATGAGGAGAAGGGAGGGAAGCGCGTCGCGGGGCCGCGGAAGAAATTCCAATGGAATGATGAAATCAGGTTTGAACAGTTTAGATATTAAGCAAACCCTTAACTTGTCTTACTCTTTGCAGTTGGAGTGAAGCATTTTGGCATCTGTATCTTGTTTTCAGAGCTGATCACCTGTAGGAACCATCAGCCTGGAGGTTTGTGGCACGTGGTGCTATTTATGGAAGCCACTATTGCATTTAATAAATGTCACCCTGAAGCTGATTCCAGGCACAGGCCAACTCTGAGAGAAGTGCTAAGACTGTGCAGAGTCCAAAAGGGAGTGAGGGATCTTTGGGAACAGAAGGAACTCAGCTGAATTGCTGAAATCCTGCAGCCAAGACTCTTAGTGCAACCAGGTTGTGGTTGTGGAAGCAGTTAAAGCTGTAGGGGGTTGCTGCCTGGCACCAGGGTCTGACAGAGAAGGGAGTGTTTGGAGGAGGGGACATGACAAAGGGTAAAAGGAGAATCAATCCTGTTGTCTTTTTCATCTTATTCTGGAACAAATTGAGGTGCTGATTGGCTGCAAAGCCAACTTCTCTTCCTGCCTGCTCCTTGCTGGGAGGTTCAGTTCTGTGGTTGTTAATGGTGTCAATGATTCTGGCACTGATTTGCTGCCTCAGCTGTTTCAGGAGAATAAAATGGGAAGGGGGAACAAGACTTTTCTCCCTGGTGGATCAATGTGTGTGCACAGACAGAGCAAGGAGCCTTTCCCTTCCCCTTCCTTGGGAAGGCAGTGCAGGGTCAGTTGTTTTAGGAAGGTGTTGTGCAGGGCCAGGTGTGTCTTGGTGTATTTGTCCAGCCCTGGATAAAGAGAACGAGCTCCAAGTGGGAAAAGTTAATCTGCGTAACTGTATTTGAAATCTTCCTGTTCTTCAGGGAGCTGCTTTGCCACTTGGTGAAGATTAAGTTGGATGGTTATGACCTTGACAAGAATAAAGCTCAGTCTCTAGAGGATTATGTGAAGACCTTCCTAGAAGGAGAGGTGAAGCCCCTTTGGCCAAAAGGCTGGATGCAGGCCAGGTGAGCAAGAATCAAGTTGTGCTGCAGGGATTCCTTGTCCTAAGGGACCTGGGAAGGTCGTTAGTCATACCCCTGCTCAGGAATGGCTGGATTCAGGGTTAGGTCAGAGTGCTCAGGGCCTTGGCCTGTGGAGTTTTGGGGATCTCCAAGGATGGAGATCACCACAGCATCTCTGGGCTCCTGTTCCAGTACTTAATCACTCTTCATGAAATCTTTTCTCCTTATTTCCAATCAGAATTCCCCTTTTTGCACTGAACTGAATACCCTCTCTTTTTGCTCTTTACTGTGCACCTTTGAGAGAGGTCTGGCTCTGTCTTCTCCATGTCTCCCTGTCCCTACCACTCTTTAGGCAGTGGAAAAGTGCTGTTAGATTCCTCCTTGGGCTTCTCCTTTTCCAAGCTGAGCCAACCCAGTTCCCTCCACCTCTCTTTGGCTGTCACATGTTCCTTGGGATGGCTCCAGTTTATTAACATCTCTCTTGTACTGTGGGGACCCTGAAATGGGTTGCTGTGCCAGATGTGCCCTCACAGGTGCTAAACAAGGGGAGTGCTCACACCCCCAGGGTACAGTTTGCCAGGACACCTTTGCAGCAGTGGCTCACGTTCAACTTGCCCACCAGGACCCCCAGACCTTTTTCTGGGTACCCTGTGGTGCTGCCTGGGGTTGTCCCATCTCAGCTGCAGGACTTTGTGCTGGTCTTCCTTGACCTTCATGAGGTTTGTGTTGGCCCCTTTGTCCAGCCTGGGAAAGGCCCTGTGAATGGCAGCCCTGCCCCCCAGCGTATTTTCCCCCCTCCTCCCTTTTCACATCACTCCCAAACTTACTGAGAGTGCAGGCCAGGTTGTAGGTTACAACAATGAGTAGCCTTGGCCCTGTTTTGACCTCTGATGGATGCCACTGGCAGGTAGAGCTGGCACTGAGATGAGGCTGACTGGCCTGGCTGTGGTTTCTTGACTCTGTATTCCAAAGGATCACTTTGTAATCACAAAGGATATGGTTTTTCAAGCATTTTTGGAAGTCTTCCCTGGAATATTCCCAAAAGAAGGCAAAGCAGAAAGTTTTAGGGGCTTATCAGAGAGTCAGCAGTGTAAATAGGAACTTGGTGTGGTTTCTTTACCCTTTCTGGGGTCCTCACTGCTGTTTCCTGCTCTTTCCCACCCTCCACCATCCCTGCCATTGAGCTGGCAGTGGCAGAGAGCCACACAAATGGCAGAGAGTCATTTTCTGGCACTGTCATCATCTCCTGGCCTGCTTTGTTTTGCTCAATACTTTAAAGAAAGGACAGCTGTACAGTTTTACTGCTGGAATCTTTAAGGTTCCTCCCAACCCAAGCCATTCCATGGTCTCTGTCTCTTTGCATTTAACGAGCTGGGCAGTGCTGTCTTCTCTCTGTTGCATTTGCTTTTTGGGTTTCCTGGGGGATAAAGGAAGTAGGTACCAGCTCTTAAGAGCAGTAAGTATGAGTAGCACAGCACAGATCCTCTTGGAAAAGTCCATGGCTGTTGATTGCAGGTGATTGTGCACATGAAGCACAGGACTGTGCGTGGTTGTGGTGTGGTGGTACAGGAGCTGAAACAAGGCATTAGGAGGTGGGTGAAGATTCCTACTTAGTTAATGAGGATATTATCAGGTCTTAGTTTTCCAAGTTTTAAAATCTCTTTTCATTGAATAAAAGGAAAATAAAATCTTTCACCCCTTGTTTGTCAGTGAAACTGTTGTCAGGGATTCAGGTGTTCACCTAAGACTCAGTGTAGGAGGCTCTTCCAGTGGAGTTAACTACAGAATGACTCAGTAAAAGTGGGTTTTCTGGTTGCTTTCCAATGGCTCAAGGACAGTGGTTTCTTCTGCTGGTACTTGGAGTTGGACTTGATGATCTTTCTGGGTCTCTTTCAACCTGAGATATTCTATGACTTTGTGGTTTAAAGACAGAGGATGGAGCGACAGGCACACAGAAGGGGGTGATTGGTGACTCTAGAACTGTAACAGTTTTATGAATAAGTCAGCTTGATTCACTGTCTTCATGATCACAGAAGCTCATCTTTAAGAGGAACTTGAAGGTGGACAGAGTAGGAGTTTTGTGTAAGATTTTAGAGAGGCCCTGCCATGAGTCTGTTTCCTGTGTTAACACTTAGAGAGGATTAATGGAATATGAGGTTAAAATAAGCTTGCTTTTTACAGAAAAAGGATGACAAAAGTCTGTTAATATCAGACAGGAATTGTATTTCATTCCAGTACTGAAGGTGTGTTTATAACTTATAACATATAAGGATGCAGCTGAGTGGCAGCTGGTTTGGGTGAAATAGTGCTTACGTGGGATTCTGGTTTCCTGAGCCTCAGTAGTGCAGGGTTGGGATGAAGCTCAATCTCAGTTGTGTTCAGTCAGTTGTTCAGGGAGCTCTGTGCTGATGTAAGAACTCACCTCAGCTCTTTGCTGGCAACACAGACACAAAGTGAAGGCTTCTCACCCTTCTTGCTGTGTGAGGCAGGGGAAGGGAACCTTTCTCCCTGGAAGTTGGTGAAGAGCTCTTGGATGATCTGTGGCAGCAGTAACAACCCGCTTGAGTGGTGGTTCTGCCTCTCCAGTTGGATTTTTAAGCTGGCAGAGCTTTTTCCTTAGTTACTTGTCCAACAACTGCCTTAATGGCCTTTCCAGCGCCTACAAGCGTAGCTCCCCCGAGAGGGAATTGTATTGGGAGTTCAAGAGGATCTTCCTGGAAAAGGGATGAATATATTTGCTCTCTGTGGTGTAAAGTTCACTAAGTCCCCTGCTGTACTGAGCAGCTCTGTCTCCAGTGATCCCAGCTGCTCTACTGGGTCTTGCTGGATATCACTTCTCATTGCTCTCTTCCCTTCTTAGGACACTGTTTAAGGAGAGCAGGCGTGTACACGGACACCTCACATCAGTCCTGTGAGTATCCCAGCATTCCTTTGGAGTGAGAACTGGTGCAGTCCGTTCCCTGGGGCCTGGGTGGATCATGCAGGAGCACCTGAGCTTGGCTCCCCACAGATAGTTCAGCGCTGCTTCATTTGGGGAGGTCTAGGGAGAGCAGTTTGTGTGTGACATCTCCCAGCTCCACCTTCCTGAGGTGCTTTAGCCTTTGAAGCCAGGCTGCCTCCTGGCCTTGTTCAGCAGCCTCTGTGCCAGGCCCTGGTTGGCAGATGGAGGTGACACGGAGTGTGATGGTAGCACTGGGATTATTGCTGCCTGTTCAGTTGGTCCTTCCTGCAGTCTGGATTCCCTCTTTCTTGTTGCCTGGTTAAAGGAGCTCAAACCAGTGAAGGTGGGTGACACAACCCAAATATCCAGTTGGGCAGGGGCTTTAATGCCAAAGGGTCTCGTGGATCTTGCTGGCAGTGGATAATAGATGATGCCAGGGATTTAGGCTGATGTCTTTTTGACACACAATCCTGTTCTTGGCGTTGGATGAGCGAGGGGAAGTGTGAGGAAGAGTATGAAATGGAGTGTAGAGTCATCCTTCCCTCAGCCAACCATTCCAGCAGCTCAGGGATGTCTTGTACCAGAGATTGCATCTGACCAGGCCAAATGGTCTATTCTCTGTGGATTTGGCAGATGCTTTTGCATCCTTGACTTCTTCTGGGAACCTAAAATAACTGTGTACCTTCTCCACAACAGTGTCTGTGCCAGTCTCTCTCGGGGTGTTGCTGTAGTGAGGGCAGCAGTGGTGGTGCAGGACGTGCCTGTGAGTGTTTCACTGCTCTGCTGCCACTCCAAGACTCTGCTCCGCTCCCTAATTCATCCCCTGTGTGGGAATTGAGGCTTCCTAGAGCAGCAACCAGATGTCATGTGGTTTTGAATCCTAGCAACCCGAGATGCTGCCTCTGTTCCCTTGGGCCTTGGCAAAAGGCTCAGTGGATCATCACTAACAGGGCCCAGGTGTTCTCCCTCCTTAGTTCCTTCCCTATGGGCATTCAGTGAGTTGTGTTTCTTTTGTCTCCCTCAAAACAGGGCGAAGAAGAAAGTTGTGGCTCCTACTAAGGTGAAAGTGAAGGTGAGTTCTGTGTTTTCTGGTTCTCGTGGTTGGCATATGCCAAGAGTCAAATGACTGCCATCTTAAATCCTGTGTTTGAGCCTTGTGTCTGTACATTAAGTACTGTGAAATGGCTTTACCCAGTATGGGGGTTCAACAAACAAGTAGAACAGCAGCTAAAACTGATGGCAGTGGCAGCTGGGAGGGAGGTCAACAGGCACAGAATGTGTATTCTGCCTTTTATCCCCAAAGTGGGAACCTTCCCTTTTCAGCAGTAAACCCTGTCTCTGTTCTGACTGTGCCTTCTCTTGTGATTTTGTTCCAGGAATCTTCCTGCAAGGCAGATAAGAAGCTGTCGGTGTCTGTTCCTTCAGTGCACTCGAGCAGCACCTCGGCCATGTCTTCAGAGCCCCAGGGAGGAGCTCTGGGCATCAGTGCCCAAACCAGAGAACTCTTGTCCCTTGGGACAGCCCAGGCAGCCAGCAGTGGCACTCCTGCTACCTTCAAGGATGACTCCTTGGATGAGGACCTAATTCACAATCCCACCTCCTCCCTGGAAGCAGTCTCTAAGGAACTGGCTGTGCTGAACAGCAGAGCAGGAGGGAGCCCTGACTTTACTCTTCCCGCACCTCCAAAAGCTCCACCAGAGAAGATCCCAACTCTTGCATCCTCAGAGGAGAAGAGGACATTTCCAAAGTCCAACCCTTCCCCTACATCTTCCTCTGGTTCCCTCCAGTCTCCTCTAAATTTCCTGGCTGAGCAGGCCCTGGCGTTGGGCCAGTCTTCTCAAGACAAGAAGACAGAGAACTCTAATTACAAAGAGCATTCCTGCCAAGCCTCCCCCAGCAAAATCCTTGCCGATGCCCACCAGGCCAAGCAGAAGCACCACAGCCTGGTGCGGCCCAGCCACGGCCCCCAGGCCCCCGCGGCGGTGCCCGGCTCCCAGGTGAAGGTGTTTCACCCCAGCACTCAGCTCCAGAAAACCTTCACCTCCCCAGCTCCCTTTGTCAAACTGCAGAACCCCAAGTCCTCCTCGCCCCTGCCCCAACGCTCCCTCCTCCAGCAGGTCAAGTCATCAACCAAAGCTCAGAGCTTCCATTCCTCTGCGTCACCAGGCAGTGCTCCAAACCCCAGCGGCTCCCACAAGAGCCCGGGCTCCTCCTCAGCATCTCTCAGCTACAGCGGGAAGCACTCGAGCGGCTCCAGCTCTTCAGGACAATCCTACAAATCGCCTTTTGTTGCTGGGTCCCTCTCCAAGCACGGGGCTTCTTCCAGCAGCTCCTCCTCTGGAGCTTCTGCAAACCAGGGCAGCTCCTCTGGGGCGCTGCTGCCCGGCCCAGCCCCTGCTCTGGGCACGTCCGCCCGCCCGGCCTCCAGCTCCTCGCTGAAGAAGCCTCCTGTGTCCCAGAAGCTCACTCTGGTGGCACCTCCCGGGGGCTCCAACGGAGATTCCAGCGGGGGCACCCAGGGGGTGGCCAAGCTGCTGACCTCGTCCCTAAAGCCAGCGGTGGTCAGCAGCACCGCAGCCTCTACCTCTGTGCCGGTAAGGGGGCTGTGCCAGCCCAGGAGAAAACATGGCCTGGGGCTGGCCAGCTCCTGCTGTGTTCAGACCTGCCATAGGGGTGACTTCCAAAGCATTTCCTGAAGTTCTTGGGTGACTGTCTGGATTTCAGTTCCTTAGCTTGGAAGTTGTGGCCTTTGCCAGGGGCTTGCACTCCTCAGTTCAAGCTTTCATTTTCAGCTTAGAAGAACAACTAAGCAGAATTCTTTGGTACCTTCCAAACTGCAGTTTTTGCACAGGCTGTGTCATGTTCCTGCCTTGGATTTGGGAGTTATGGGGACAGTAGGGCTCCCATTTGGATTAAGAGAAAGTGCAGTGAAGTAGTTTATCACAAGAGCTAAAAGTCATTGCACGAACTAAAAGTATAATCATCAGTTTGTTATTAGTTAGATCTACAAACTTGGCCTCCCTTAAGTTATTGCAAGTCATTTTAGTATTATTGCCACTTTTTTAACAACTGGCTCATAAATAACCTATGGTGATAGGATCCTGGAGTCATTAAGGTTGGAAAAGCCCTCCAAGATCGAGTCCAACCCCAGCACTCCCAACCACTAGACCATGTCCCCAAGTGCCACATCCACATGGCTTTTAAATCCCTCTAGGGATGGGGACTCCACCATGCCCTGGGCAGCTGTGCCAGGGCCTGACCACCCTGTCAGTGAAGGAATTTCTTCAATATCCATTTAAACCTCCCCTGGCACAACTTGAGGCCATTTCTTCTCATCCACTCCCTTATTCCTTGGGAGCAGAGCCCGACCCCCCCCCGGCTCCCCCCTCCTGTCAGGGAGTTGCAGAGCCAGAAGGTCCCCCCTGAGCCTCCTTTTCTCCAGGCTGAGCCCCCCCAGCTCCCTCAGCCCCTCCTGCTGCTCCAGCCCCTTCCCCAGCTCCGTTCCCTTCTCTGGACTCACTCCAGCCCCTCAGTGTCTGTCTTGCAGTGGGCTCTGATTCTGGGCTCTAAGCTCCAAATGCCTCCCCACCTGCTTTGGTGCTTATCTCTGCCCACTTTCTGTTCCTTCCCAGTTATTTCTAAAGCTGCTGAAGTGATGTTTTTGGAATGGAGCTCAGTGGCACACTGTGGAATTCAGGGTCTGAGTTTGTTGGGATACAGTATCTCATAAAGGACTCCCAGGTTACCTGTGCAGACTTTAATTATTATAATATCGTATTACTTAATAGTATAAGGCCCTTAATTTTTATCTATAGCAAAAAACTAATAGTTCTTAATGGTGTTGTATTCATTTGTAGTTGGCTGCTCATCCCTGCCTTCCTTTGGGCACGTGGGAAGAGCTGGACAATTCAATAAGTGTGTTTAAATGGGCCTGGAAACCATGTCCTGCTCAGCCCCTGTGCGTTTTGTGTTCCTGGGAAGCATTCCCAGTGGCACCTGTCTCCATGGGAGAGATCCCAAATAACACTCCTGGGTGCCTTGGGTGCCAAACCTTGGTGCCTTGAGTTGTCAGGAGTGATGTGCTGCCAAAATGGAGTAGGAAGCATCGCCCCTGGAATTCACAGGCAGTGTGGAAGCTTTTTTTTCTGCCTAATTGAGGCACAGTTCCAGAGCAAGGGAGTAATGGAGGCAAATCCAGCATGGCCACACTTAGAAGAGCTGGATTGGCAGTGTCCTGGGCACGTCCTGATGGCCTCAGATGTTGGCAGCTCTTGGGCCCTGACTGGGAGGGTGCTCCTTGCGAGGAGGGATTCTTGAGCACTCCATTTTTTGCAGATTTATAAGTATGAATGATGCTCTGCCTTGGTTTTCCCACTCCTGACTGACCTTTTCCATTGCTTTTCAGAAAGGAACTAGTGGAGCTGTGCTGCTAACCAGTTCTTCCTCCCTAAGTGTACTGGCTCCATCCTACAAGTCGAGCAACCCAAAGCTGCCGGCTGCCCTGAGCTCCACCCCGTTAGGTATTATCTCTCCTATTCATTCCTTCCCTCTCCATGTCATCTCCTTCAGCTCCGACTCCTCCCCAAAAGCAGGAGTGTCAAAGGATGCCATAGTCACGGGACCTGCTCCAGGGACGTTCCACCACGGCCTTGGGCACAGTGAGTATCCCCTGGGCTCGTGTTCCCCGTGCCTGTGCTGGCAGATCACAGCTGCCGTGCTCTGCTCTGCTGACCCGCTGCACACCCACCCATCTCTCTGGCCGTTGTTTTGTGCTGTAGTCCCTGCTTTTACATCCCCAGCAGTTGCATTTGGAGAACCTTGAGCACGTCCCTAGAGCTAGCCCAGAAGTCCCAATAGCTGGAAACTGAGCTCTAAGCTAATTGCTGCAGCTCCTCTGCTTGTTTCTGCCTTCGATGTGTATTTGTTCCTTTTTCCCTCTCCTTTCTTTGTTTTTCTCTCTAGGTCTTCTGGCTGGTTTGCACTCCAGCCCCCACCATGCAGCGCCACTCCCACACTCTGCCCTGTCCACTCATTTACCACAGAGTTTGCCAGGTAACTTGTCAGTGTTTGTCTTCTGCCTCGTGAGTCGTCCTCTATCTCAGCAGGTCCTTCCTTTAGGGTTCAAACCAAGCTTGTCTGTGTTTTCCAGCTGGTGGGGTTGTTGCTAAAGCCCTCAGCCTCCCCGAGGCACAGAGGGGCTCGGACCAGAGAGGTCTGGTGGAAGGTGTTCCTGCCCATGGCAGGGGGTTGGACTGGATGATCTTTAATGTCCCTTCCAACCCAAACCATTCCATGACTCTGTGATTAGGGAGAAATTCTTCCCTGTGAGGGTGGGGGGGCCCTGGCACAGGTTGCCCAGAGAAGCTGTGGCTGCCCCATCCCTGGAAGTGTCCAAGACCAGGTTGGACGGGGCTTGGAGCAACCTGGGCTAGTGGAAGGTGTCCCTGCCCATGGCAGGGGGAGGAACGAAATGAGCTTTACATCCCTTCCACCCTAAACGATTCCATGATTCTGTGATTTCTGGAATGATGAGCCCTTAGTGTTTATAGCAAGTGTTGGTTCCTGGAGATACTCAGAATTATCCTGTCAGGATAAAAGCTGTGCCTGTTTGTGCACAGCCTGCCAGGACTGCCCTGGAATGAATATTCCGGCTTTGTGGAGTTTTGTTCCTGGTGACCTACATAAGATGTGTCAGACCAGAATGTCTTGTGTCTGTGCTCTGAGCTAATTGGCATCTCCTTCACGACAAGTTTGTACTGTAAATGCAGAGACTTGCTGGTGACAACATGATGATCTGGCAGTTGAGCCTGTTCCTGCCCCAGCTGATGCCTGCAGAAGTGATGCATAAAACAAGAGTTTTCCAAAGAAGGAGAGAAGTAAGGAAAATTGAAAGTCAGGGCCAGCAGGTCGGGCTTACCTGCTTCGGGGAGTTGCTTATCCCACTGGGAATTGCTATTTCTGCCTTCCCAGTCGTGTTCTTTAACACTTCAGTGCAGTTCAGTCTCTTACTACCTGCTCCTGCTGGGATTGTCTTCCTGGGCAACTGAGCCTGATTTAGGAGTGGGTGTTTGCCTAATCCTATGGCTGTCAGGCCACCTGTGGCCTCCTGGAGCAGTCATGGAATAAAATGCCCTTGACTGCTGAGCGTGGTGTTTGTTTGCTGAAGAAAGAAGAGTGTGTTGTACACTGAAAATGCAAAGTATTGGTTGTCTTTGCTTCTTTTCCTGAAGTTTGAGGTGGGTTGTTGTGCCACTCCAACGTGGTGGAGCTGAAGAAGGTTCTAGTGGTGATCACTGGTGTGACAACCCTTCCTTCCTCTTTGTAAATTCACATTCCTGACAGTGAGATGAGTGTTTGGGATTTGAACGTGGGTTGTGGAATGTGTTCTGTGTCACTGAGGAATTGTTCTTTGCCCCATTAGTTGAGGGAATTTAGAGTGGTTCCTTCACTGTTGCTTATAGGGCTTATAACAAGAATTTTTGATGGACTCTTCAGCAGGATGCAGTGCCAGGAGCTGTGAGCAGACAAAAGGTTACTGGGAATAAGTGAAGGAAAACTGACCACGGATACAACTTCAGCAAGGACTTGCTTTCTCACTTGGTGTTTTCACATAAACATTAGAGGCTGAGCCTAGTGCTGCCATCTCTGAGAATATTCCCAACCTTAGTGTTCTGTAGAACACATTTAAGTGACCCCCATAACCTTAAAATGAATTACTGTGTGCTGTGGCACAAGCTGTGGTTGGCTGTATGAACATCTGGCCACAGCTGTGTTGCTGTGTGTGAAAGCTGAGAGGACTCTGGTGTGGGGGAGTTTGCTGCAAATGCTGATATCTTAATGAAAGTGCTTTTATACCAGTGTTCATCCCCAAACCTCTGAGCAAGGAGCATCCAGTGCTTGCTTGTGTGCTGTCAGTGCTGCTGTTGCTGGTGGAGGTGCCTTTGTGCTGTTGTGGGGCTGGTGCTGGTTCTGCCTCTTGCTGCAGAAACGGGGTGTGCTGGGCTGAGCTCTTGCATGGAATGAGCTTCTCCTTGTCCTGGAGAAGGGGCTGTTGCTGTGCTGCTCGGTGCCTCTGCTGCTTAACTGCACATCTCAGTACTGCCATTCATTCATCCTGGTCTGATTGGAGTTTTAATTGCTCCTGAAAAACTTCTACTTCTTGAAGTTCCTTCCTTTTTCTCTCTTCAATGTTTTTACTCTTTTCCTTCCACACCCGCTCCCTTCTGTTCCATCAGTGGTTGCATTCCTGTGGTTCCTGTTGCTATCAGTGGGCACCTAAAGCCTTCATTAAAAAAGCACCCAATTAAATAATTAATTCATTAATAAAGAGCCTAAAGCCCACCCTGACAGGAGGTTGTAGCAAGGTGGGGGTTGATCTCCTCTCCAAGGTAACAGGACAAGAGGAAATGGCCTCAAGCTGTGCCAGGGGAGGTTCAGGTTGGACATCAGGAGGAATTTCTTCAAGGAAAGGGTGGTCAGGCATTGGAAGGGTCTGCCCAGGGAGTCCCCATCCCTGGAAATGTTCAAGAAATCACAGGACATGGCATTCAGTGCTGTGGGCTGGGTTGGACTTCATGATCTTGGAGGTCTTTGCCCACTTTAATGGTTCTGTGATTCCAACAGCAAAGGTGCACTAATGGGTTATTTCCAATCACCTTCAGGTGCAAGGCAGCCCTACCATGGACTTCTGGTTTCCTGGATGAGGAGATGTGCCAGGGTGGCTTTAGAGAAGGACAAGTCCCCCAGCAGCTGGGATCTGGGCCGTGGTGCTTTTTGGGGGAGGCCACAGGAGACCCTGAGTGCTTCCCATGTCCCTCACTCAGAGCCTGGGCTGCTCCCAGTCAGGAGATGTCTCCAATAACATCCTCTTCCCTCTGACTCCTTGGTGCTGGAAGGGCAGAGTAGGTCTTTCTCTCTTAGCAGAGAGGCTTGGCTGTCCCAGCTCCATGGGGGTGATGCCGAACCCTCTTCCCACGTGGTTTTACTTTCTTTCAGATGCTTCTCAGCTTCATGGCAAAGGGTCCAATGCACAGCAGCGCAAGTTGTGACGCCTGCCAGGAGGGGAGCGAGAGCACCCATGGGATAAAACCAAGAGGGACAGGTCATGGAATTTGGATACCAGCTGTGTCTTTTCATTTCTTTTCTTTGGTCTTCTGTTTCTTTTTTTCGTACGACAACTGGAGAGACTGAACTGCGATGAGGAGCTCGTTGGTGCGTCTGCTTGGAGGCTTCCAGAGCTGAGCCCCGCACGAGGGGCCACCTTGAGCCATGTCCTGATGAGAGAAGCATTTTGTAGCACTGTTTTATTGCTGCTGCCCTTCACGCATTCCCTGGCACTGGCAGGAGCTGGAACTCGCAGGGACACTCGGGTGTTTCCCGTGACTCCCACCCGCCTGTGTCTGCAGCTGCCAAGTACCTCCAAGTCCAGTTACCTCCTTGGTCTCCCCATGGAGGGTATGAAAGGTGCTTCTTTCTTCTGCTTTGGATTTACTTGGGTAATTCTAGCACTGCCAGTGCTTTCCCGAAGACATTTGAGGAACTTCCCAATTGTACTATAAAACTGTGCTACAGTTAATTGGAGGACTTAACATTTTCCTGTGTGATGAATCCAAGGAACCACCTGATGTTCCCCTCGAGGATTTAGAGAGACATTTTTAGATGCTGTCGTGGACTTTGAGAATTCTACTTCTTTTGAGTTTCTGGATTTTTTTTCCATCTGAAGGGATGCTTTTTTCCTGCTCAGTTTTATCCTCATTACCATCGAATGCATTGGATCGGATGGGACACTTCTCGGCATGTCACATGGATCGGAAGACATAATTCCAGTGCCTTTTATGGTGGAGCAAGAATGGACTAGTGACACACATTTCAGCCCTATTTCGTGTGCTCCTCAACCCTTTTTTAATCATTCTGTATTTAAAATGTATTCTGGTTTATTTAATAGAGCTTTTTATGGTTGCACATCAAAAAAAAGAAAAAAAGCTGCACTGTCTGGACTTCAGTGGTGTCCTGGTGACTGAGCACAGTCCCACATCCAGCAAGAGCACCAGTTCTCATCCCAGTATGTGCAGGCGGGTTCCAGGCCCTCCCCTAAAGCCATTCTTTCCTAGGGTGTGGGTTGGGATCTCTTTGGTGGGCAGAGGGAATGACGGAGATGAACCAAGGTCACTACTAATCAAAGGAATTCCAGAGGAAAAGATTGCTCTCCTCCATGATTTCTGCACTAGGATCATGTGCCCAGCACAGCTGCAGGAACAGGGACCAGCTACAACTGGGGGGTATCTTTTCTTGTTATATTTTTAACTTTTAGACCTAAATACTTGCCCTGAGCCCCCCCTTTCAGACCATGCAGGTTGTGGTTCCACCTGAGCTTCCTGAGGTTTGATTTCCTGCTCTCCCCTGCTCTGCCTTCTCTCAGGCCCCCACAGCCATGCTGGAATCGTGCTGATCCATGTAGAATTTACTGGTATTTCAGGCAAAAGCTTGCAGCTTCCTCCTTGAGCTTTGGGGAAGGATGCTGACCCCGACTATACCAGCAAATCTCTACTTTAGTTTTCCCTGTTTTATGAAGATCCAAGTGAGACTGTTTTCAGTTTGAGCTGATACCCAATTTCCCAAGATCAATGAATTGTATTTTAAAAAATACTTCAGCTCAGATTTCCAGTCTGTTTACAGCAAATACCTGGGTTGTAGCAAAAGAGCCAAAGACAGAATTTGTGTTGTTGGAACGAAGCCCAGCAGTTGTTGGTGGACTCTGAGCAGTGGATGTCACATGGTTCCCGTTGAAGGCCCGATCCTGAGAGGTACTTTGCACCTTCAGCTTCCCCTGGGAGCTGAAGGAGCGTTGGGGCACTTGCAGGACTGGGGGTCTCAGCGAGTGACTCGAGGTACTGGTTCTCCTCCCTCTCTTTGCTTTCACTTGAACGCTCCTGCTGGGAAGTGTGGCCGGAGCAGAACGCCCTCCTTCTAGGAATTTAGCAAAGCCTCTTGCCTCAGGGAAATGTTTATTTGGTGGGAATTCTGCCGGATATTTTTTCTTTACGTGCTATAATGAGTGAGTGAATGGTGTGGAGCAGAGTTGCAGCAAGGCAGGGCCACGCAGAGACCTGGCACCTGAGTGGGAGCCAGTCTGGCATCTCTGCCTGGGCGAGGCCTTGCAGTGCTTCCGTGATGGGATGGGGAGGAAAGGCTCCCATGGCACTTACTGGGAATGGCAGTTCCTTTTGGGTGTAAGAGCTGTGGTTTACTATTCTATTTTTTTTTTGTGTGAGTTGGGACTGTCTTGCTGAAGATGGTGGGGGTGGTATGAAAACTGTTAATCTTGTACAGAACAACTGAATAAATTGTTTCAAACTTTCCAAAATGCTTTTTTTTTTTCATCTTCTTACCTCTAGTTTCCTGACTTTGTTTCCAAGAGTTTGTGTTGCAGCTTGGATCGTTATTTGTTTGTTGAGTTTGTAATGAATTACTGACTGTTTGAACTCAGCTCTCCTATGTGGTGAGTGAGTTGCAGCTCTGTTGTAGCTGTTTTGGGCATGGAAATGCATCTGATTCCATGTGCTCCTGTTGGTGCCTGAAGTGGATGTCTGCTGGAAAGGACATGTGGAGGTCAGACCCTGGAGCAATGATGTGATCCTGCCTGATCCTTTCATTCACAAGGGTAAAATAGTGGTGTCCAAAGCTAGGAGTGAATGGTTATTACACTGACGTCAGAGTTTACTGGGGTTCAGGTATTACCTGAAATTTGGGAAGAAGGAAGCGACTGGGGTCTAGATGTGGAAGGCCCTGATCCCATCCCAGTATAATCCAGTGTTTTCCTGCAGCTGCAGTGCCATTCGTTAGTGCACTTTACTCCCATCTAATGCTGCTAATTAGTCCCGGCTTTAATGCTGCTCCAGCAATTTCCGCCTTGGAAAAGAGTCAACAGCTAAATTTAATAATCTTAGTGCCTTAATTCTGACTCTCAAATGGCAACTTCTTGTAAAGCCAAAGATCAAGAGGCTTCCGGAATTAATAAAGACCAACCACCCTCTGATTGGAACCACTGCGTTTTTATTTTGTACTATAAATAGAATTCCCCTCTATTTCCCATTCCCTTACACAGGTAAATGAAACATGTAGCTGCATGTAACTCCATCCAGGAAAACACCAGCCCTAACAGCTTGTACCCACGAGGTAAGGGAGCTGTGTGTGGAAGGCACTCTGCCGTGGGTTCCATTGCATGCTGAGCACTGCCCCTGGTGTTGGCACATTCTGCCATCTCTTCACATCCTTTCCTTGACCTCTGGTATGTGAATGCTCCTCCTAGATCGATGGCTGGAGCCATCAAAGCACATCTCCACTCTTCTCCAGCAGCACAGGCACGTAGGTGAGCAAACGATGGTGTTGGGTATCCACGTGGTGATTCTGGACTGAGATGTGCAGCGCACCTTGGTTTTTACAGAGCTGGTTTTCTCACAGGACGAGCCCATCATTGATCAGTTGTCCACGGTGGAACTGTCTGGCTTATCAACATGCAGCTGATGTAACCAGCTCCTGCTGGTCACCTCGGAGTCACCTGGACCTTCAGTCTCTCTCCTGACAGCCGGACGCAGTTTCAGGAGCGACTACGTGAGGATATGCTGAGGAAACTGCAGGTTCTACTGAGTTCTGGACTTCAGGCACTTCACTGTCCTAAGGCTTTCTGTCTTGTTTTCTGTTGGGCAGGGCTGAAGAGGGGGAGAAGGTTTTGCTGTAGTCCTGACAGACGTGTTTTCCACTGCTGGTGGTGCTTTTCTGCGGTGTTTGACAGCAAGCAGTGTGGCTTCGCAGCATGGCTGGGGCAGAGGCATTTTGGAAGCATTTTGGAAGAGGCAAAGGAGGGCGAGGATTTGCAGTGATCTGGTTGTCTAACAAGTGCTGCAGCTCTGACTTGCTGCTCTTAAGTTTCTAAAGTGGAGGGAGCGCTGTGTAGTTACTTCCGGACACCAGGACTGCCAGCTCCTGGATGGACATCTCCTTGTTGAGGTAACTGTCGTACTGGGCCATGGTGAGCCTCCCGCTCTTCAGGGCATCCTCAATCGAGAACTCCCGACCAGACTTCCTGTCCAGGATCACCGACGACTCCCCGTTGGGACCCTTTATTGAGATCTCCTCCCAGTCACATTCCTGACTCTTCAGTTTGACAAACAGGCTCCATTCAATGAGGCCAAACACATGAGCTTCCTCTGGAGACATCTCTTTCCCCGTGTCAGGGTCAATGACCACGATGGAGCGCCTCAGGTGGTTCTCCCTTTGCTCCCTCTTGATAGCCACTGTCTTGAGGCGATTCTGGAGTTGCTCGATCTCTGCATCTTTTTCTCTGGACAACTGTTTCAGATCCTCTAACTCTCTTTCCAAAGCTTGGAACCTGGAGTCCAGGTTTATTCCACTGTCCACGTGGGTCATGTTTCTTAAATCCTGAGCTTCTGTAGCTGTGAGTTCAATCTCTGACTGCAGTCTCCTTGTTTCCATCAGCAGGTTCTGTTTCTCGAGGTGTAGTTTGTGGTTTTCCTCCCTCAATAAGTCTAGTTCCTTTGATGACTTGGAGTTGTTGAATTCTACCTCGGACAGCCTGGTTTCCAGGCGGTTGATATCTGCATCCAGCTCCCTCTTGCGCCTACTTTCTTCCTCCAGATTGTTCTTCAGCTTTTGAATCTCGTACTCCGTATCTCCTTTGTCCACTTGGACACTCTCTGAAAAGACCACTTTCTCTTTGACCTCCATCTTTTCCAAAGAAAGGAGCTTCTTTCGCAGGGCTTCTAGTTCTGTTTGCAAGACTTGTCTCCGGTGCTTCTCTTCCTCTAACTCCAGCTTGAGGAGGGAGTGCTCCTTCTCCTGCTGGGGATCTTGCTGAAGGATCACTTTCTGCTTCACAGTCACTCGTTCTGTCGTCTCCCTCTCCTGTTCTTCCAGCTCGTTCAAGCGGATCCTCAGCCTCTGCACCTCCAGCTCGGCCTCCCTGCGGGCCTGTCTCTCCTTCTCCAGCTCCTCCAGCTGCCGCTCCAGCTCGGAGCGTCTCCTCTGCAGCTTGCGCAGCTCCTCGCGGAGGCCGTCGATCTGCTTCAGCTCGCTCTCAATGCTCTGGGAGAAGGAGCTGACTTCAGCTTTCAAGGCAGGATCTTGCTCATACTTCACTACTTCCTGCTGGACCACTTTCTCCTTCACCTGGGAAAGCTCTTCCTCCTTCTGTCTCACTTTTTCTTCTTGGAGAAGCCGCTCCCTCTCCAGGTCGATATGTTTCATCTGTTCATCCGCCAGCTGCACTCTCAGTGATTCCACCTCCTCTCTGGTCTTGGGGTCTTCTCGAAACTGCAGAATTTCTTGAACAACTTCCTTCATTTGCACTTGAGGTTTGGTATCTTTCAAAGCTTGTATCTCTTGTTTCAGCTGGTAGATCTCCAGGTCAGCTCTTTCGATAGCTCCAGTCCTCTCTATGATTTCCTCACGGAGCCGCTGTAGCTCCTTTTCGGTTTCTGGATCATTTTTGTACTTAATGACCTCCTTAATGACTTCTTTGACTTCTACCAGTGGCCCTCTGTTCTTCAGAGCAGCCAGCTCATTCTGGCAGCTCTTCAGCTGTTCATCACCACCGCGGTATCTCCTCTCCTGCTCCACCAGCTCCAAGCGAAGGTTGGCAACTTCATTTTCAGCCTTGGGATCTGGGCGCACAATCTCACGCACTTTCTCCTGAACAACCACCTTGGAGTTCTCTTCCTCCAGCAGCTGAATCTTCCTGAGCAGCTCAGCCTTTTCCCGCTCGTTGGAACGACCCTTGGACTTCTCATCTTCGTACTGGCGCCGGAGCTCGTTCACCTCCCTCTCAATGGCCAAGTCCTTCTCTACCTTCAGCACCTCCTTGACGGTGATTTTGCCCTCGGCGATGGCCCGTTCCTTCTCAAGACGTTTGAGCTTGTCCTGGAGGAAGCTGAGCTCTTCCTCGTGCTTCTGCCGAAGGGCACTCTCCCTCTCCTTGTTCTCTTGCAACATCCGGAATTCCATCTCCAGCTGGGGGTCGTTCTGCAGCTTCAGCACCTCCTTCTCCGTTACCTTCTCCTGCTGTTTGTTCTTCTCGCTGGACAGCACGGCAATTTGTTGGCGTAAGAGGATGACTTCATTCTCCCTGGTCCCTTCCTGCCTCCTGAGCTCTTCCAATTCTTCTTTGAGCTTCAGGATTTCATCAGCTTGAGCCTTATCTTGTTCAATCCTCAGCACCTCTTTCACTATGTACTCCTGCCCTCCCTCCCTCTTCTCATGCTCCAGAACACGCAGCCGGATTTTAAGAGCCTCCAGCTCGTCCTGAAGCACCTGGTTCTTGCGCTGCTCCTCTGCCAGGTTTTGCTGCAGCCTGTGGAAGCTCTCCTCCAGCTGAGGGTCAGGCACCTTCTTCACCAGCTCTTTCTTAAGCACAGTTTCTTGAGGCTTCTGGTTTTGCAGGTGGACAATGTTGTTCTGAATGGCTTGGATCTCTGCTTCGAGCTGTTGCCGACGCTGAGTCTCATCCTCGAGCTCTTTCTTCAGCTTCCAGACTTCTTCCACGGGCCTCACGGATGATTTGGTCTGGGCAAAGTCTTGTGTCACCTGAACCTCTGGTTGCTGTTGGTGGAAAAAGAATGTGTAGTTAAAAACCCCCAATTAATCATACTTTTGGTGCTTACCATACAGTCACAGAACCGTTTAGGTTGGAAAAGACCTCCAAGATCATCAAGTCCAACCTGTGCCCGATCCCCACCTTGTCACCCAGCCCAGAGCACTGAGTGCCATGTCCAGTCATTCCTTGGACACCTCCAAGGATGGGGACTTCACCACTGCCCTGGGCAGCCCCTTCCAATGCCTGACCACCCTCTCAGTGAAGAAATTTTCCCAATATCCATCTAAACCTTTCCTGGCACAACTTGAGGCTGTTTCCTCTCATCCTGTCCCTTGTTCCCTGGGAGCAGAGCCCGACACCCCCATCCCAGCTCCCCCCTCCTGTCAGGGAGTTGCAGAGCCAGAAGGTCCCCCCTGAGCCTCCTTTTCTCCAGGCTGAGCCCCCCCCAGCTCCCTCAGCTGCTCCTGGTACTCCAGCCCCTTCCCCAGCTCCGTTCCCTTCCCTGGACACGCTCCAGCCCCTCAGTGTCCTCCTTGTCACGAGGGGCCCAGAGCTGGACACAGCACCTGAGGTGCCTCAGCAGTGCCAAGTACAGAGGGACAATCACTGCCCTGCTCCTGCTGCCACAGGTATTGGCGCCTCCTGTGACAAAGCAACAGGAGGGTGTTGAGCTCTGGCAAACTCTGAGCAGGGAGTATTTGCAAATAGACTTCCCTGCGGGTTCTCAACCTGAGAAATGCTTTCTGCAAT